ATTACATATATTATCCAATATATTTTATATCTCAATTAAAAATGTATATTTCAAGTCTCAATTAAAAATTTAGTCATCATAAGGTATATTACATTTAATCGAGTGAAATCATACATTTTAATGACGAAATTAAAATAATCGCCATGTATGATTTTCGAGAATTCCAAGTTTAAGGATGTTTGGTATTTCCCATAACATTGAATTATATTTAATATCTTTTTAACCAGTTAGTACTTGTACAATATTATTTGACCAAATATTTTCTCTGTATCTAAACTTTTGCAAATTTTCAACAAATTCTGAATATTATTTCCATGTGTTTTTGTCATTTGAATCGACATGATTATACGTTTCCCATAAGAACACATGTTAATTCGGTGCGAATTAAAATCCTTAAGACTTGTGAACGCTTTAGTGAATCGATTTAAAAATTGTACCGAAGATTCTAAACATATGTAAGGACATTCTGTACAATTTTCATTAAATTATCAATATTTTGAAAATAGGTAAAAAACATCCTTAAGGATTTTTTGTATGTACAATCCCATCAAAAAGTAGCTGAAGATCAATATTGACGAATATATATCCACTTTTTGGTGTATTTTGAGCATGAGAAATTGTGTGGAATATTACAATTTGAGCTTAGCTACAGTGCAGAGATGTATTTTTTAATATTTATTGCGTTTTTACTAAAATATTTCAAATTTTGTTAATCGAAATGATTAACTTTTTGCAGAGAATTTCGCCTTGTGACAGATACATGGCTAACTTCATTGAATTATATTTAATATCTTTATAACCAGTTAGTACTCGTACAATATTATTTGACCAAATATTTTCTCCGTATCTAAACTTTTGCAAATTTTAAACAAATTCTGAATATTATTTCCATGTGTTTCTGTCATTTGAATCGACGTGATTATACGTTTCCCATAAGAACACATGTTAATTCGGTGCGAATTAAAATCCTTAAAACTTGTGAACGCTTTAGTGAATCGATTTAAAAATTGTACCGAAGATTCTAAACATATGTAAGGACATTCTGTACAATTTTCATTAAATTATCAATATTTTGAAAATAGGTAAAAAACATCCTTAAGGATTTTTTGTATGTACAATCCCATCAAAAAGTAGCTGAAGATCAATATTGACGAATATATATCCACTTTTTGGTGTATTTTGAGCATGAGAAATTGTGTGGAATATTACAATTTGATCTTAACTACAGTGCAGAGATGTATTTTTTAATATTTATTGCGTTTTTACTAAAATATTTCAAATTTTGTTAATCGAAATGATTAACTTTTTGCAGAGAATTTCGCCTTGTGACAGATACATGGCTAACTTCATTGAATTATATTTAATATCTTTATAACCAGTTAGTACTCGTACAATATTATTTGACCAAATATTTTCTCCGTATCTAAACTTTTGCAAATTTTAAACAAATTCTGAATATTATTTCCATGTGTTTCTGTCATTTGAATCGACGTGATTATACGTTTCCCATAAGAACACATGTTAATTCGGTGCGAATTAAAATCCTTAAGACTTGTGAACGCTTTAGTGAATCGATTTAAAAATTGTACCGAAGATTCTAAACATATGTAAGGACATTCTGTACAATTTTCATTAAATTATCAATATTTTGAAAATAGGTAAAAAACATCCTTAAGGATTTTTTGTATGTACAATCCCATCAAAAAGTAGCTGAAGATCAATATTGACGAATATATATCCACTTTTTGGTGTATTTTGAGCATGAGAAATTGTGTGGAATATTACAATTTGATCTTAACTACAGTGCAGAGATGTATTTTTTAATATTTATTGCGTTTTTACTAAAATATTTCAAATTTTGTTAATCGAAATGATTAACTTTTTGCAGAGAATTTCGCCTTGTGACAGATACATGGCTAACTTCATTGAATTATATTTAATATCTTTATAACCAGTTAGTACTCGTACAATATTATTTGACCAAATATTTTCTCCGTATCTAAACTTTTGCAAATTTTAAACAAATTCTGAATATTATTTCCATGTGTTTCTGTCATTTGAATCGACGTGGTTATACGTTTCCCATAAGAACACATGTTAATTCGGTGCGAATTAAAATCCTTAAAATTTGTAAACGCTTTAGTGAATCGATTTAAAAATTGTACCAAAGATTCTAAACATATGTAAGGACATTCTGTACAATTTTCATTAAATTCTCAATATTTTGAAAATAGGTACAAAACATCCTCCAAAATGAACGTATGATCGCGCAACTTTATGTCACGAACGTTGATTTACGGTAGCTAACACCTGCTGTGCGGGTGAATCCATTAGCTAACAAAGCAAGAGGGACATTAGATGAATAAAACTGACAACTAATTAATGAAAACGCCGAAGCGCCGGAACTACCGTAGTACCCGAGAACAATTTAAACAGTGGCCAATTACACATGTGCCTTTCGGGGAATGTTGAGGCAGACTAACGTCATCCGCAAATACTCCCACGAAGTGCCGCAGCCGCATCGGGGACCCTACGACATGCGTGGCCGAATAGTGATCGAAAGAACGTGCGTCAGGTGATGGCTACGTAAAAGGAAGAGATAGAAATAGGGCGGATACGGTGGATTAGGTGCGCACGGCATCAGCCGCGGCGGGTTGAAAACGTAGGGTAGGGATGGATTTCACCAGGTTAATAATGCGAAGGTCGCGCCGGGATCCTAGACCCTAACTTCGCGATCTCCGCGCTTAGTTGACGAAGCCGAGCGATCCGCCGAAATATCGCATCGTCGTCGAAGCAGACTCCTTCTTTATGCCATATACGTGCTTCGCGTCTCCCTCGTCGAGCTAGGGGTAGTCTCTCGAACGGCTAAAAGTCACGTAGAACCTAACGTAACGTATCGCACGTGAATCGTCGGCTAACGACAGGATGGTGGCACTCGTCGGCGGTGCCACATCACCTTTGACCGTATCGCCGTGAAACGTCATGTAATGTCGCCAAGCGTGGATGATGTCCGGGATTGCTTAGGGCTCCGCAGCAGCTTTAATCCGTTCATGGGCGCGTCAGCCGGGGTGGTGGCGAGAGAACGAAAGCCGAGAAAGGGAGAGACGGCTCGAGATCGAGAGAGAGAGACGGAGGCTACTACTCCGTCGCTACCGGAGTCCGCGGAAGAGGGGTGAAAACGAGCACCGGGGAGAGAATGCGCGTTGTATTAAAAGCGCCGGCCCTCGTCGCGCAGCGTGGGAGTTAGTTCTGGTGAGGGCGCCAGGCAGCTCACTCACCGAAGCTAACCCACCGTCCCAACCCTTCGATCCTCCACATCCCTCGACCTTCGACCAACAAAGCAACCACATCCACGGCCGCAAACCTCTCCTCACCGTCATTCGTGTCCGTCGTCGCATCCCGTCAGTCCGAAAAAGTCCCTCCCGCGTGAGAGAAGGCAACGGCTCGCGAGTATCGTGTATCTCCGCGTCGACGACGACAACGACGACGACGACGACGACGACGACGACGACGACGACGACGACGACGACAACGACGACGACGACGACGACAGCGGCGGCGTTTGCAGCGAGGGTGCAGTAGCGAGAAGGGGTGCTGTCGCGCGACAAACCTAGGTCGAGAGAGAGTACGCATCGTGGGAGACGGAGCGAGGGAGAAGGCAAGAGAGAGAGAGAGGGAAGGTTCCTCGTCGCTCAATGGAACACCGGCGCGGCCGGTCGAGATCGGCGACGTCAGCACGGCAAGTCGGGCAACCGCGGGAAACAGCCTTTAACCTTTGAAATATCGCCGCGCGCGCGGCGATTATAGTCGGGGAACCGCGGATCTCCGACTTTGCATCGTGCAAGACTGGAGCTAGAGGCGAGAGGAGGGCGGGGGGAGAGCAGAGAGCGAGAAAGAGAGCGACGGTAACGACGGAGGGAGCGTAAAACCCCCCCAATCGAGGAGCGGAATCGTCGCGACGACCCGAAGCAAGTGTCCTCTCCGATCGACTCCAATCGCGCTTTCGACGCTCGGTGTACGCATCCAGCCTCGCGGAGACAGACAGAGCGAGAGAGAAGGCAACAACTGTCGACGGACACGCATACTCGACCCGCGCGCGCGCGCACGGCATCACACGCCCATATGAACCATACGGAAGCGGAGGGTGCGAGAGAGAGCGGCGAAAATGTCAGTGAATGAATCGCGCCCTGTCGTGTGTGAGCGGACGACGTCGTACGTGGTATGATTGCACGGGGTGTTGCTACGTCGTCGGGACAGACATAGCTCTTTTCGTGGCGCGCGTCGATTGACGAGGGAGAGGAGGACCGAGCGTGATGCACGAACGTCGCCGGACGTCAGCCAGAAACTCGGGTGTCCGCTAAGAGAAGGGCGGAACGGTCGAGGAGGGAAAAAAAAGAGCGGAGGGCGAAGGACATCAAAGGACACATCCTTCCTTCCTTCCTTCCTTCCTTCCTGCGACGAGCCGCAAAAGGTGCGCCAAAGGTGACAGATCGGCGAAGGCGGAGAGAAAGAAGAGGATAAGTGCGGAGAAGGATAGAGAGAAGGAAAGAGAGAAAGAGAGAGAGTGAGAGAGAGTGAGAGAGGGCGAGAGAGAGGGTGACAGGGTCGGAAGAATCATCACGGGACGGCGCGACGCGGAGGGAGGAAAGGTCGAGATCGGTGGGAAAGCTCTCACGCGGAAGGAGGAGAAAGCGCACACGGCAGGCACACGGCAGACGAGACACGCGGCGGCGACTGAAACAGACAGAAAGAGAGAGAGACAGACAGACAGAGATCAAGAAGCAAGTATTATCACAGTCAAAATGCCCCGTGCATTCAAACACTGCACCTCCCATGTATCTCGATGAACCTCCCGCGCGCGCATCAAATCTCTATCTCTACTTCACGCGGGGCCATCTCGCGCCCCTGACATATCTCTACTCTCACTACTATATACATGCTTATATATATATATACATATACATATATATATATATATATATATATATACATATATGTGTGTGTGTGTGTATATATATATATATCTCGGTGTACCTTTTTCTTCTGTGCCTTTGTTCTGAACACCTTTGTTGCGTGTAAACACCTGTTCCCGCGTCTCGCACCGACAACAAACGCGCACCGCTCTCTGCCACGGCAAGCCTTTGCTTTTTGAACGTTTTTCGGGGCACCTGTTGATACGACCGACCTACATAACACACTAGCTGCTGTCCACATTTATGCTCTGTCACTCCCGTCATTGTTGTGCGGCCGATCGGTCATCGCGGGCATCGGTATCTCCGAGGTTGGTCCGGGATGTCTTTTCCGCTCGCGCGAAAGCAAATATTTTGCGCGTCGTAGTTTCCCGAATCGGACCCGAATTGGATCTTGCGTGATTTGAATCGTGGATGAGAGAGGAAATTATCCCTTTGCTCGAGTGTCCATCAGTCGTTTTGCGTTCGACCAGTATTTAATTGTCGCGAAAATTTTTATCAAATTTTATTAAAACATCCTAGACACGCGTTGTCACATATTTAAAGGAGCATCGTCGTGATTGAAAATTCTTCTCGTATTAAATAAATTTAAAATATTTACAAATATTTTGCACGTCGTAGTTTTCCGAATCGGACCCGAATTGGATCTTGCGCGATCTGAATCGTGGATAGGAGAGGAAATTATCCCTTTGCTCGAGTGTCCATCAGTCGTTTTGCGTTCGACTAGTATTTAATTGTCGCGAAAATTTCCATCAAATTATTGAAAAATCCTAGACACGCGTTGTCACATATTTAAAGGAGCATCGTCGTGATTGAAAATCCTTCTCGCATTAAATAAATTTAAAATTTTTACAAATATTTTGCACGTCGTAGTTTCCCGAATTGGACCCGAATTGGATCTTGCGCGATCTGAATCATGGATAGGAGAGGAAATTGTTCCTTTGCTCGAGTGTCCATCAGTCGTTTTGCGTTCGACCAATATTTAATTGTCGCAAAAATTTCTATCAAATTATTGAAAAATCCTAGACACGCGTTGTCAAATATTTAAAGGAGCATCGTCGTGATTGAAAATCCTTCTCGTGTTAAATAAATTTAAAATATTTACAAATATTTTGCACGTCGTAGTTTTCCGAATCGGACCCGAATTGGATCTTGCGCGATCTGAATCGTGGATAGGAGAGGAAATTGTTCCTTTGCTCGAGTGTCTATCAGTCGTTTTGCGTTCGACCAATATTTAATTGCCGCAAAAATTTCTATCAAATTATTGGAAAATCCTAGACACGCGTTGTCACATATTTAAAGGAGCATCGTCGTGATTGAAAATCCTTCTCGCATTAAATAAATTTAAAATTTTTATAAATATTTTGCACGTCGTAGTTTCCCGAATCGGACCCGAATTGGATCTTGCGCGATCTGAATCATGGATAGGAGAGGAAATTATCCCTTTGCTCGAGTGTCCATCAGTCGTTTTGCGTTCGACCAATATTTAATTGCCACAAAAATTTCTATCAAATTATTGGAAAATCCTAGACACGCGTTGTCACATATTTAAAGGAGCATCGTCGTGATTGAAAATCCTTCTCGCATTAAATAAATTTAAAATTTTTACAAATATTTTGCACGTCGTAGTTTTCCGAATCGGACCCGAATTGGATCTTGCGCGATCTGAATCGTGGATGGGAGAGGAAATTGTTCCTTTGCTCGAGTGTTCATCAGTCGTTTTGCGTTCGACCAATATTTAATTGTCGCAAAAATTTCTATCAAATTATTGAAAAATCCTAGACATGCGTTGTCAAATATTTAAAGGAGCATCGTCGTGATTGAAAATCCTTCTCGCATTAAATAAATTTAAAATATTTACAAATTCAAACTCAATTCTCGCACATATCTGGGGCGGACCTTTCCGACGTGGATAACTGATGATGTCGATATTCCGCGATTACTCGTCCGGAACTTGGCGCACAGATGTAAATCCAGTTTTAACAAATAATATAGCGTACGAATAAAGTTTAAATTTTACAAGATTACAGAAAATTTCGCAATTCTCGGATAAACGGACACGTTCCGCTAAAATGACTTAGCCAAGTTGCGCCTTATTACGATCGCGAGGTGAAACTTGGGCCGATTATTTGCAAGCAAAACGCGATGATCATCTATTGTAATTTCGATCGCAATCACGCCGCTGGCGACGTAGCTCGGGTCCTCGTTTTGTGCAAGGGAACATACGCTCGGGCATATTCGATGTACGTGAGAGGAAAGGGAGATAGGTACGTGAGACAGAGAGAGAGAGAGAGGACGAGTGTAAAAGAGGGGTTGGGTGGAGCGAGAAAGAGCGGATGGTGAAGGAGAGCGGCAAAGAGTGGCAAGGTAAGCGGATAAGGAAACAACGCGCTCCGAGGAAGAGGGTTCTCTCTCTTTTCGGGGAGACGGTGTAGCTTTATCGGCAAAACGCGAGCGTTGGGTGGCACGTTTGGTCGACGTTTGGTCTAAATGTTGTTTAACACTCTCGAGCACCTTTATATATACGCATATCTATGAGCACGCACGATGAGCACCTCCGATACCACCTCCACACGTCGCAGCACTCTCTGTTGAATATATATCCTGAGAAAACAAAAACCAACAAAAAAAAAAAAAAAAGAAAAATACCACCACGAATCTTTTTGTGTTCCTGGCACCTGTGGTCGTAGAATATCGCACATTGTTCTCTATTAACGACCTGATTTCAGGACAGGTGTGCGCTTTATCACGAAGGGAAAGCCAAGGTCGCGGCTACTATCATGGACTACCGAAAGTGAAGCGTATCGATTAGAGGAGCGAGCATAACGCAATCAAATGTCAAACGTGATACACCGTACGCTCGAGTCGGCGATTTATCTCCGATAGAGAGAGAGAGAGAGAGACGAAAGAAAATAAGAAAGAGAGAGAGAGAGAGAGGGGCCTGCTCTTTTTCCGAGGCTTGACGGAATCGCGGGTCCCAGAGTCTGGGACATGCTAGGAAGAGAGAGAGAGGGAGAGAGATCGCTCTCTCGACGCAGTTGCACGCGTAACACCGTTGCATTTTTTATGCAATAGCCGTCGGCTGTGTCAAAATACATCGCCGTTCGTGATTTTTTATCAAGTTTATCCTCGATCTTCTATTCTTCGCCCCCTCGATATCAATCTCCCATCCACCTTGTACCCCCCCCCCTTCACACACATACTCACACACACAGACACATACACACACACAAACGCGTACACGTACACGTACACACGCACACACACTTACATACGCATATATACAAGTACTCGAATACAATACACATATACACCTACGCGTTCCATCCTCAGCTTCCCAGTGTACCGCGAGTTCAAACGAAAAGTCGGCCTAACTCAGAATCGCTACAGACGTGCCTTTAGACTGGCAGTGAGTAGTAGACAGCTAAAGAGAAGGAAAATATAAGAAAATAAAAAAAATATAAACAAAGCATATCATTGCTGTTCACGTAGGTCAATTATAACACCACGTTCGACTGCATATATCGAGTGCGATAAAAAAGTGGTGTATACAAAAAGGAGAAGAAAGAAAGGGGGAGATATATATATATATATACGTAGATACATATATATAGAGAGATAGAGGAAGCTAGAAAAAAAAGGAAAGAGAGAGAGAGAGAGAGAAATAGAGGAATAAAACGGGACATTACTTAAGAACGTTGATGATTTGTAAAATGGCGGTTTGCATGTTCTGGCTTCTCACCTACGTGGGACAGGGACTGGATCTGGCGGTGGGCAATCGACCGGTGATCATACAGGTGCAGGGCACACAAGGGCTCGACTATCGTCACGGAAGCGGTAGCGGTATCAGAAAGAAGAGCGAGCTGAGCTCGGTAGGCAGCAACTTGTTGCACCTCAGAATATACCCTACGGACGGCAGTCCCCACATGCGGGACGATCTGTCCAACTGGCTGGTATTCAACGACGAGCCACGGATAACGTCGTGGTCGCCCGCTGGGATGCTGATCGACGACATGGTGAAAGAGCCGCGCGAGCTCCAGAACGTCTTCTTCGCCCTGTCGCCCGCCGTCCTCAACGTCCTCTATTCCGAGTACGTGACGTCGTCGCAATCGTCCCAGGGGATCGCCGCGACCGAGCCCTACTTTCCCCACGACGAGGGTAGCAGCAATCATCAGCTGATCGGCGGCGGCCGACAGCGGGCGAAGAAACGGCGCATAGGCTGCCGACATCCGCGAGGTCCCCTCAGCGTCCTGCCGCCGATCCTGGTGTGCGACGAGGCCGGTAGAAAGACCACCGGCCCGGCGACCGCCGCCGCCGCCGCCGCCAACGTCCTTCAGGAACCCAGACAATCCAAACAAGACGATCTCTACGCGGAGCAGAGATTTAACACTGCGACGAGTACGAAGACTGATCCCGCGCGCGCCGAGGCCGGCACCACCCTTAATTTACCCACGAACGGCGGCTTCGTCCCGAACAGGGCCTTCGCCTACGAGACTGGCAAATTACCCGGTAGCAAGCGGAATCAGATCACGGTCGGACGGCGTTCGATCGACGCACAACGGGAGTCCCCGGGACACCAGGCTCAAGCGTCCTCGGTGTCCTCGGCCGGAGCGAGCATCGCCTCGCAGCTCATGCTGAGGTCCATCCGGGGAAGTATACAATACGACGTGCCGCAAATCGGTAAGTTGTGTCGTCTCACTTGTATATTCGCGAACAGCTCTGGGAAAAAAATATGTGCAACGACGCGAAATTTAAGGATGTTTTGTAGCAATTTTTCAAATATTGAGAATTTAAGGAAAATTGTACAGAATGTCCTTACATGTGTTTAGAATCTTCTGTACAATTTTTTAATCGATTCATTAAAGCGTTTACAAGTTATAAGGATTTTAATTCGCACCGAATATTAACATGTGTTCTTATGGGAAACGTATAACCACGTCGATTCAAATGACAAAAGCACATGGAAATAATATTCAGAATTTGTTGAAAATTTGCAAAAGTTTAGATACAGAGGAAATATTTGGTCAAATAATATTATACGAGTACTAACTGGTTAAAAAGATATTAAATATAATTCAATCGAGTTAGCCATGTATCTGTCACAAGGCGAAATTCTCTGCCAAAAGTTAATCATTTCGATTAATAAAATTCGAAATATTTCATTAAAAACGCAATAAATATTAAAAAATACATCTCTGCACCGTAGCTAAGATCAAATTGTAATATTCCACACAATTTCTCATGCTCAAAATACACCAAAAAGTGGATATATATTCGTCAATATTGATCTTCAGCTACTTTTTGATGGGATTGTACATACAAAAAATCCTTAAGGATGTTTTTTACCTATTTTCAAAATATTGATAATTTAATGAAAATTGTACAGAACGTCCTTACATTTGTTTAGAATTTTCGATACAATTTTTAAATCGACTCACTAAATCGTTCACAAGTTATAAGAATTTTAATTTGCACCGAATTAACATGTGTTCTTATGGGAAACGTATAACGTCGATTCAAATGACAAAAACACATGGAAATAATATTCAGAATTTGTTTAAAATTTGCAAAAGTTTAGATACAGAGGAAATATTTGGTCAAATAATATTATACGAGTACTAACTGGTTAAAAAGATATTAAATATAATTCAATCAAGTTAGCCATGTATGTGTCACAAGACGAAATTCTCTGCCAAAAGTTAATCATTTCGATTAACAAAATTCGAAATATTTCAGTAAACGCAATAAATATTAAAAAATACATCTCTGCACCGTAGCTAAGATCAAATTGTAATATTCACACAATTTCTTACTCAAGATACACTAAAAGTGGATATATTCGTCAATATTGATTTTCAGCTACTTTTTGCTGGGATTGTACATACAAAACATTCTTAAATTTTCGAAACTAAAGAATATTTATAGAAAAATTAAAATTATTATTAAAATAATTAGAATATAATTAGAATGATTATAGAATTATTTATAACATAATTAATATAGAGAATTCTTATATATCATATATAAGAATTATTAATTTTTCATAATAATTATAAAATTATTAATTATTAACTATTCTTTGATTTTATTATTATATTATTATATTATTATCTTATATATTTATTATATTATTTTATAGTAGAAACGTATTATTTTCATTATATTATTATATAATAGAAACATATTATTTTTTGAGTACATTATTTTATATTATTTTATATCATTTTGTGTGTGTATAATTTTTATTCTTTTTTGTACTGATATAATTTATACAAATTTTACCTTTTTATGTCTATTTTTTTTTCTTTCTTTCTATCGTGTAATAATTTTATAGAATTTTTAAAACATTGCATTGTAATCCAATTTCGTAAACAGTTACATGAATGAAAGATTGATTGCACTATCTGCGAAAAATCATAAATTAAACAGCCTAAACGCTTATAATTCCGTTTAAGAGAATGTCAGTTCATTAATCTGCTTCAAATACCATAATATTTTTAAATAATTCTCTGATAATAAGCGTGAACTTTTCTTTTTCATACATGAACACATTTCAACTTTGATAAAAAAAATGTTCTTCTTGTTGTTCACGCGTAAAAGAATGATTAGATTAAAAGGAGCTGAAAAAGTTTGATTTATGTGAAATTGGATAATGTGATAATTTGTAAAATAGAAGGATTATCTAAAAAAATGAATTATTATTTTTCTTCTTTTTCTTTCACAATTTTTAACATCGCAATAGCTTCTTGATTTAATTAAACGCCGAATAGATAGTTGAAAAGCATCGAATAGGAAGAAATTTATTTTAACGCATTTTAATTCTAACAATAAATAAAGAAAGCTCTCTTCTTTGATTCTTAATTGTTTGTTACATATTAGAATTAAATCGAATGAATAAAACCAGAAAGAAATTCGGGATTTCGAAGAATAACGCAAATTTTTTATTCCAAATACTAGAAATTTACGAGAGATAATAAAAGAAATTTCTACTAGTTTCCTCTTTAATTCATCCATTTTTAAATAATTTAAATAAAGAACTCAATGATTTAGGAAAAATGCAGCCATTTGTTTCCAAAAATAAATATAATCATGATATTTATTGAAGTGTCAAGAGCTTATTATCGAAATTCCATGCGAACATTTCAAATTAATCTCATAAAATCCCCGTAAATCTACGTTTGTGGAAAAGATACTTTAATTTCGAGTGAAATATGAACTGAACAAGAGTGTATGCGTGTTATGAATACGCACGACACATGAGTTATATGGCCAAAATGGTCTATAAATCCAAATGAAAAATGTCCGCGTGCAAAAATATAGACAAAGCGTTTCTGCAAATAAAGAAAAAGTGATGAAACGCTATAGCACGACACGCCGTGTCCCTCCCAAATTTATTGATCCAACGGAAGGCCGACGGCGAATCTCGCGACAAGAAGAGGAGGGCATATCCTTTTCTATAAAACGGTATTCGCTAGAATCTAGAGAGTCGTTGAGAAGCGTGCAATATGCAGAGAAACTTTTTTTTTTTTTAAGAAACTCTTAGAATAACCATGGGCAGATTCGCTTTGAAAGGAGGGAAATGTTATAAAAACGTAAAATAAAGTATGTTGGAACGTTGTTTTATCTCATACCGATCTTGTTAGGTCACGATATATAAAGAGATAGGTCAGATGTATTAAATGTTAAGCGTCCATTTTGCTAAACTAATCTCAATCAGCTTACAATTAGTGTTGAAAATTACACGCGTTGACCCACATATTCTCCCTTAGATACATGCATTTGGCATTATATTTACTGCTCAAGGTATTATTGCTCGTCCTACGCTTCGAGAGAAATTTTCTTATTAAGCAAAGCAACAGAGAGAGAAAATTAGGTGTAACTACATTTAACTCCGAATATGTTTCGCATACAGGCTTTTGAGATGCATTATCATGCATAGGTAAATAATACAGAGGATTCGTCAATTGGATTTAATACTAAACACACCGTGAAAATACGAGCTTGTATATGTTCAGATTAAAATGTATATATGCTTAGATATTAATAACTACATTACTGAATATTCTGTATAGTTGTCATAATTAAAGCCGATCAAATTTGCATTGATTTAAATCGTCACAATTAAAGGAATTTCATGTCACGACGATTCTCTCTCTCATTTTCCTACATCTTTCGATTTTCTAATTCTTTACAATATTTCAATTTTTGATCAAGAGAAGAGAGGAGAATATTGAATAACATTTATCCATGTAATATTTATATATACTTTTACTTATACTTTTTATTATATACTTATATATAATAAATATAATATTATTTTTATTACGTAATTTTTATTATTTACTTACACTATTTACAATTATATATTTTTTCATATTTTTTATTTTTCTATGTTCAATATAATTCTAGAACGGATTCAAGGAGAATTCTTGGCGATTTTTATTTATAGAATGTCCAGTCTCCGAAGACGGAATGGAAAGATTCGCTTGTCCGACTGCGGATAGAATGGGTAGATATCATTGCATCGACGATCACGTCCTGTGCGACGGTTTTATAGATTGTCCTACAGGCGAGGATGAGGATAGACAAGCTTGCATGTTTTATAAAACCGTGAGTACAATTGATCATTTTTATTTGCTTTACATTTCTTCTTCTAGATATATAAAAGCGAATTTCAATTACTGATTTTTAATTATTTTTATAAAAGAAAAATTTGACCAAGGTATGACTTGCACTTCTTTTTTTTTAAATTTGATAATATATCGTATATATATATATATATATATATATATATATATATATATATATTTTATCGCCTATATTTGTCTATGTTTAAAATATATTTTGGAAATGTATATAAATTCTCAGATGAAAATCTAAAAAATATCGTGAGCAAGTCTATAAAAATTGATATATATTATTGGATTACATGATATATCTTTTTTTAATATCCATTTAATATTAGATTTTATGATTCTCTCTTTCATTTATTCTTTTATAAATAAAACTCTAAAAATCGCTACCTAATTTTGTACTATTTTACATTTATAATTAACAAAACTCGATTGTTATTATAATATAAAGTATATTTTTCCACAAACTTGATTTTCATTTTTCTCTTATATATTTTGTCATTTGAAATAAATATACATTTTACATTTATTTATTTATATCTTAAGAAAAAAAATGTAAGTATAAAAATGTGGAATTCTATTAAAAAGGCAGTGATGGAGATTATGTATTAAAAAAGAATATATATTAGAAAAATTATAGTAAGAAAACTTTCATCAAATAAGTTAATAAAGTAGCAAAGTAATAAACGAAATAAATAGGAAAATATTTAAGTAGATAATATAATTTAAGTTTAAATCTCTGCTATGTTTCTTCCAATAACATCCAGACAAATGTGGAGAAAGAATTTCTGTACTTTTGAAAATGCCATTTTAATTTTCACACGTTGCTTGATCAAATAGATAACTTTGTGCATTGTATAATCTATGTAAATCTTTGCTGAACTTTTCAAGTGATTTTCCTTACAAAGTTCAAACGAAAGTGGAGACATGTATTTGCGCTAATCGTGAGTGTACTAACAAGAATCAGTGTTCTAACTCACCAATAGCATTTTCCGTAGTTTTGAAAACGAGATGGAACGCAATCTTTTTGATAATTTATTATCTATTTGGAAATATCGATAAATTTTATATTTTTTTATAGTCAAGGAATTGTTATCCATGTCAAGGAAATGTCAAGGAATTGTCTATCAATGATATAGGAAGGGAGTGGGGGCAGAGATCCTAATAAATTAATATATATACTTGACATCTTTCCAGAAATATACATATACGATACGACAAAAAATATAAAAACTTTTTATTTTTAAATATATAATACTTGAATTTAAATTAAGAATGACAAAAGGCTAAATAACAAAAGTATTAGTCAATTATTGATACTATACACTAATATTGAATTTGATAGAATTTGATTAAAGATAAAAATTGTGGAGATATAAAAAAATCTCAATTATTAATTATAAATTAATTACAGTTAAATATAACGCTTGAATTTAATCAAGGTCTTTTTAAGGATAAATTGTAGAATCAAGTAGTTAAATAACAAAAGTATTATTGATACTAATATTGAATTATTGATACTAATATTGAATTTGATTGTATTATTGATACTAATATTGAATTTGATACTAATATTGAATTTGATAGATTTTGATTAAAGATAAAAATTGTGAAGATATAAAAAGATCTCAATTATTAATTATAAATTAATTACAGTTAAATATGTAATGCTTGATTTTAATCAAAATCATTAATTACAGTTAAATATGTAATGCTTGATTTTAATCAAAATCATTTTAAGGATAAATTGTAGAATCAAGTGGCTAAATAACAAAAGTATTATTCAATTATTGATACTAATATTGAATATTAAACTCGATAGAGTTTGATTGAGGACAAAAATTGTGGAGAGATGTTATATAAAAAAAAAAGGTCTCAATTATTAATTATAAATTAATTACAGTTGAATGTGATACACAAACAACGTGTAGGAGGAAGAATGAACCATTATGGATAGTCATCCGTAGCCTTCGATTTCTTTTCCTAGCTTAACAATATGTCCTAGTAAACGATAATATAATCGCATTCCGATATGTTTCAGACGAAAGCGCATCTGGACGTATTAGCGGACGCTATACTACGATGGGCGAGGGGACGCTAATTCCCTCTTTGTTGATGATGAATCTCCAATCTGTACATAAAATCACAAGTCTGATACGTCTACTTCTTTATATATATTCATCGATATCTTTTTCTCCTACATTAATCTATTTTCCGGAAACTGTTTTCTCTCTATGTTTGGCGCATAGAGACGTTCATATTGAAATCAAACTCAGGGGAAAGTTAAGATGAACCGTCTCTCTCTCTCTCTCTTTCTCTATCTATCTATCTATTTCTCGCTCTGTACTTCTCTCTCTCTCTCTCTTCCTCTATCTTTTCCATCTCCATCTCTTTCTATCCCTTTCTCTTTCCCAGAAATGAATACGGCCGCTCGATTTAATTTCCGAGAGGACACGGCATGGTTCTAATTACACTAAAAAAAAAAAAAATCGGTTAGCAAGGTCTATCTCGTAACCAAAATATCCTCACATAAAGTACAAATTAAGGTGTCCGAACTTTTAGGATGTTATAAATAAAGTTCGTAAGAGAGTTATGGCATTTTAACGCCGCTGTGTATGGCGCACGAGAAATATCCGACTTGAAATAATTTCAGTTCTAAGCATATCTATACCAGTTAATATATACCACACAGATGATGTATTACGATTTCATATATTGAGCGATTTCCGCGAGATCGTACTAACTCTTTAACGACTTTATTTTGGTATACAATAAAGTAATTTTGAAGACTGAGAACTATTTACTTCATTCCCAGAGTAAACACGCGGCCTCGCGCCGAACCGATAGGAACGAACGATCGTACCGTTTGGCAAGGAACGGGCACGTGTACCTAGAGATTTCCTCCTAGAGTACTTCCTAAGAGATTGTAAAAGAAATGTACTCATGTTTTTAATCAAATCACTCCGCAATCACGACGTTGACGCGCATATAAAACAAACGTAATGCATAATTAAATGAAACTCAATGTCGATCCGGTCTTCTGGTATCGCCTACCGACACGAAGAGACGTCTCCTTCGCCTTGTGTGCACGCTCCATGTTTTTTCGTCATCGAATATATCTCTAAATACTTCATTTATTTCGAATTTACGAAAAAGATGTCCGCGAATAAAGACAAGGTAAATGCTTTCATCTGAAAAAAAAAGAAAAAAAAAAGAGAAAAAAAAAGAGACCCTATGATTAATTGCTAATTGCGCTTCACCAAAACCAGCTCCGAGGAGAGTACCGAGTTAGGAAATATTTAGGAATTTATTAGAAAGCCATTTGCTGCCGTGTATACACTTTGCGTTCTGCGAGATATTTATTTACAAGCTATTATCACACGTATTCTCAGAAATTCACAAATATATGTATCGATATTGCTGTGAAATTGAACGAAAATGAATTTCTCCTATGTTAAATATTTGATGTCCAAGAATTATGACTTAACGGTAACATAATAATACATATATGTTCCAACTATTACAGGTAGTTTTGTATTTTCATTTTCCATACCACACAAATCAAATATATGAATTATTCGTTAAGAAAATATCTGATATTAGCTCGTATGCATAGACAGATGAATAAGGGAGAATTTTTATATAAATTATATTAAGCTTCATCTCAAACACATCCTTTCTACAAGGTATTTACAAAAATATATTGCTTCTATTCAGGCTCTTTTCTTACGTTTTCACAAAATAGAATAACTAATTTTATAAGCGTATAGATTTCTTGCCTTTCTAAATATAACTTTAATCTTAACAAGCACTTGTACTTTGCAATCTGTTTCTTCAAAAATAATTAATGCTTGCATTGCTTTGTACTTTATGATAAATCACATTATGATGATTGCACACTTATTCTTATTAGAATTTTGAAAAAGTTCTAAATAATAGATTGCGAGTTAAAGTAAACTATGACAGAAAAAAATGTTTACAAATGTTTAAATGTTTTACAAAAGATTGATTACTATCCTTACATGTTACAAGACTAGCAAAATTACAAATTATTCAGTTTGCGATACTACTGCTTGCATAAATGATATTTCTTGTGGAAATACAGTTCTTCTGTTTGAGCATTTGGTTTTACTAGAGTTATTATTTCTAGTGGAACATTTTCTCTAATACTATTATCACTTATATATATGGGAATTCGTTGGATATCTGAATTGTTGTTTACAGCTACATATTTTATAGGCTGAGTGATATTTTGCACAGAGTGATGCTGATCGTCGATCATTTTCGGGTACGTATATGCAGAATTTTTTTTTGGCTCCACTAACAATAATGACACATCAGTGGATAAATTAATGCAATTATCCATCTTGTTATCGCGATCTTCGTGTAAAATTCTGGGCTGCACTATCGTCTGCACAGCTCCCTTATGAAAATGATGCTCTTGCGAGGCATTATGTTGACATCTGGTAGAATCCAAATAAATATACTGTTCATTACAATGATTTAAGTCAATTTGATTCTTAGCGCATTCTACGTCTGCTTTGTTAAATATTTCTTTACATGTAGATTCTCTAAATCTTTGGTCAGGTTGAATAATCTGAGAGAAATTTAATGTCGAGGACGGAATCGCTTTTGCGTTGAAGAGAATATTTTTGTTCCGATTATGCAGACTTTTTTCCAAAAGTTCTTGCTTGGCATCGTTGTTTTCACATATATGTAATTTGGCTTGTTGAGCTGGTAATTTCGTTGATTTTATATTGAAATTACAAGAATTTGCGTCTCGCAAGTTAATTGCATGATAATTATGTGAATGAAAAAGTTGGTTTTTTACCTTCGACAAAACTTGTTCTCGTCCTCGAGTTCGTTCGGTATATGCATTTGTATTATATAAAGTTTCGAAAGTCTGCAAAGAGTCATCGAATCGACATACTCTGTTTCTTCCAGTCAATTTATTGGAATGCATATTTAAATCAAATTTTTCTATTAGTGATTCTTGTGACTCTTTTATATTCATTAGTGATTCCTGTGAATCTTCCATGTTCATTGATTCAATCCGAGGTTTAAACATTTTCGTTCCATCATGAAAAAATTGTGAATTTATTATACTAGGTGTAGGAAAATTTTTAGCTCCATTTGGAAATTGTGCTTCATAAGATTCTTTTGTAATATCGTTGTAAGGAGTTATCCTTTTTTGCATCCAATGGAATTTATTTTCCTTCTGAGATGTGTCTTTTATTAAAGGAAATGCGATTGTGTGATTTTCTCTATATTTAGGAATTTCACTATCGATTTTAAAGAATGAAGTCGATGATACTTGTGAAACATCTGAACAAGCCTGATATTTCATAGACAAATCAGGTAATTTCACAGTTTCCAATTCTTGTTTATTCTTTTGTTGATGAAAAGAATCAACATAAGCATGTCTCTCATTATCTCTTTTATTATTTATATTGATTCCAAATTGCTTGTATAATTTTTCTGCATAGTTCATTTTATAAAATAAATCATCATTTTTCTGGGCAGAGTGATTATCCTTCATAGCAGTGACATGATTATATCTATGAATGACAGGTCGTTTAACATTCTTTGCATTGCACTTATTTATTACTCTGTTGGAGAAATTAATTGGCGATTTTTCACAAGTATCTCTTGATAAATATTTCTCGGCGAGTAACAAATCGTTTGAAAAAGTCAAAATTTCTGCGTGTTTCCTGTTATCAATACATTGTAAATTTTCATGATCAGAAAAATCGACATAAAGATTATTTTTGTTATGTCGTTTATTTTTCGAAGGATGATTAATATAATGCTTCTGGATAGAATCTTTTTCATTCACAGAATTTACTGTTCTCGGAGATTGATAAATATGTGCTGATTGTTTTGAATACTGATTATCATCATTCTTGCGATTTCTTATAATACAGTCATTTATATCATATGTTTCCAAAGTCTGCGATAAACAGGATATAGAATCATAAGGCTCTACATTATCACTTTGCATCGAATGGATTTTGTCATCTTGCTCAGGTATATCTTCCAGTAAAAAAGGTGAGATCGTGCGATTTTCGCTACATTTAGGAACTTCATATTCGATGGCTGGTGACATTTGCGAAGCATCTGAATACGTACAAGCTTGGTTTTCTACAGACAATGCAGATGATTTTACGGTTTCTAATTTATTTTTTTCACGTAAATATCGTTGACGTAAAGAATTAGAATAAGTACATTTCAGTTTTTTAATTGTTGTTGTAAGAGGATCTAAAATCATTTAATGATATAAATTTTGATGATGTATAATCGAGTTTTATAATAATTATATTCTTTCTATATATGTAACATACCTGATTGATAATTTTGTAAAAAGTCTCCTCCAAAATTTACATCAGAGATCATTTTACATAGGTCTTTATAATGATTCAATGCCTTAGATATATTTTTATCATCCCTATGTGTTTGTTGTATTTTGTCCTCATTTACTCCATTTTCTTCCACAAAATTATCAAACATTCTGTGAAATAAATATTTTATTTTATAAATACATTCTGTTCTTTTTTTATTGGATCTAATAATTAAATCAATAACAATATAATTTATGGCTTTACTCTGTCTGAGTGGTAGTAGATTTTGATTGTTCCTTATCATTTTGAAATAATTTTTGCTTATACATATTTTTTTTTTTATCAATATATTTTGATTCATTATTAACATTCTGTTTTTCCATTTTATCAGAATCTAAGTTTTTACAAAAATTTTCTTCATTTTTCTTTTTAGCAAGATGCAACTTCTGATTTTTACTGCAATATTGATATATGATATAATTTTTATAAAATATCTTTTCTACATCTATTTAGAATAATGACACATGTTAACATTAAAATAAATATTACTGAATCAATAAATGTACCTTTGTTTCCTTTTCAAAACGGGACTTTGCTCCAGGATACTGTTTGGTGTCCAGAATTTTAAACTATTTTTTACAAAGTCTTTATTCGATTCCAATTGTTCAGTAGTTTCATTATAGGTTGAAGGTCCTTCTGTATATCTGTAAAACAAAATATGTTTTTAATTTCTATTTACAATTCATTGCTTTAGATTTCAAATTTGGTAATGCGCTTACTTGACTTCTGGAGTGTCGCCATTAAATAATTTTAATGCATCTGCTTTTAGCCGAGCTCTATCAAATGTACTTTCCGATGTTTCTATTATAGAACATTAAAATTATTAAATTTTTATTCTTTTATTATTTAATTGTCGCAACATACAAATTTTAATATAAATACCTTTGTAGATGTTTTTGCCCTTTGTACCATTCCTATAGATCCCAAAAGCCTGAAAAAAAATCATAAAATCTTTATCTATCTACAATGAATGTAGATTAATATCAAAACTATTAAAGTTACATACAGATCTTGGCAGAAGCCTAGTACAAATCTTTGCTTGCCCTTGCTTTCTTTGTTTGTCTTTCTCACCATTTTTCCCATCGTTATCCTGTAAGAAATTCCTATATATGTATTATTATGCACAAAGATATTATTTTAAAAAATAATCTTTCAAGATGAATTATATTTCATTTCCTTTTATACATTAATTAATTATTATTAATTTATATAAGGCTTTAATTATTTATTATTAATTTATATAAAGTTTTGCTACATTTTATATGTTAAGTCTTTCTTATCTTTTGCAAAATTATGTAAATTTACTAGTTATTTTTCTTTTTGATTACATTTTTGTTTGATTTTGTTATTTATTTGATTTTATTTCTTTTTTCTTTTCCATTAGATTTTTCTATAAATACAGTTTTTTAGGTAAACCTCTCTAGTAATATATAACGTATATTCTTACACATAATTCATTCTTTATCAAATATATTATTTATAACAATTAATAGAAACAATATCAAACATTTTTTGCGCGTTTTGACATAAATTTTTCAATACCAATTGCCAATTGAAGCGATGCTCCGACAATCTTTCGACCCTAACCTAATATTGCTGCGAGGAGAGTAATCGCGTATTTATATCACGATGTCGATCCGGTGCTAAATTAATGACAATACGCTATTGTTGATTACGCGTATCTCTGCGAATCCAATTATCTCACGCGAGCCACGAAGAATCGCAACAATTACACGTACTACGGCCTCACGTGCCCGCATACGTGACACGTGCTAGCGCTTTTCGCGGATCTACTACGCACTACGCGTTACTACGCGAGGGAAGGGAGCGGGGCGGGAGGGGGGAGGGAGGGGGAGACTGACACAACGATCAATATGAATGAACGTGCACGTGTAATGAATATCTTTCAGTACCGCGAGTTTTCTCTATCGAGTATCGAGACACTCACACACACCGGATTTGTTTCCCCTCTTAAAACTTGTCACGCGGATCAATTATTTTCACGATGAACAAATTGTCGAATAATATAAAAATGATATAGAATAATATAAAAATCGATTTCGCGGATCCTGGAGCGGGATCGCGAGGGGACAATATCGCGAGGATACTCGAGAGGACGCGAAAAGACAAGGAAACGTACCAATTTCTTCTTGGCCTTTAAGATCTTGGAATGTATCCTGTCGACGTCCCTTTTGCATCGTTTCCGTTTCGGCATCTCCCGATCGGTGGCCCTCGGCATGATCCTACGCCTTATCTCGGTGCAGGCTCCGGAATTTACGTACGACTTACATCGCGTTGCGCGTCACGGATAGTTGGAGAATTTGCGGTAACAAACGCGAACGCTGCCTCGACGACGACTGACGACCGCCTTCGTAGATATTTTCGCTTCTAGAATAGTACAAAGAGCCCCAAGACGTACTAGTCGTGCTATGGAATTCCAAGTTTTTCTTCTGGTTTTTCTTCGTCCAATGACGTCACGGAAAAAGTCGCGCAGAGGGGGATGTTATTATTTCGTCGTAAACCTTCGAAAGTTTCGTCTTTGAAAGGTGAAGCAGTGGCCAGAGATGAAAAGCGCGACGACCGGATACCTGTTTTTTTGGGAGAAAATATTTTCATTCACGTGATGAACGTATAAAAAGGACAATTAATCGCACATACAGCGGATAATTCGTGATGAGCATTCTCTGATATTTGTATGTTAATATTTCGCGCGGAAAAAAAGATAAAAAATATATTATTTTATAATGAGTACGTCAATTATAACATACGTTCATTTCCTGTTTACGTCAAGTTATCTATATATATTTAAAATAAATTATTGTCTTATAATAATAATAATAATCTCTGTTGTAACTTCTTTCATGTAAGTTGAAACTGTTAAAAAAACTGTGAAAAAATTATATTTATATTTATTTATAATTATTTATAATTATTTTTACATCATTTGCATTTTATAAAATTATTTTAAGTTTAATTTCTTTTGTTATCTATTATGAGATATAAAATTATTTCATTGCAATTTATTAAAACGTGTGTATCGATTTATGATGGGAAAAAGCATAATTTACATTTGGATAATTATATACACGATTTTTTAATTATATGCGATAAATGTCGTTCTCATGTGCTCGATAATCTATATTTTTTAATTTGAAAATGGTAAGATATTTAATAGCATTTTATAATAAATTATAAAAAAGGAGAGAAGAAAGTACGTATTAATAAATAATGTTATAGCTATAATTTATAGCATAGACATGTGAGTTAAACTTGCACATAATCAAGCAACATCGTTTTTTTAAAGAATTTTATAGCACATATTAATTCTACACTACATGTATAATTAATTTAATTAGCGAATGAATTGAGGTTAAACTATTTGAACGCAAATAAGTCGCAATACTTAAGATAAAAATGTGTAAAAGCGCACAGCATAAATGAAAAGAATATATTAATTTAATAACGTATATTGATATTAATATTATTGACAATATCATCCTCTTCCATTACTTATATCAATAAAAAAACAGCAGGAGAATATTTATGTACTTCTAAAGAAAAAATTCAAAATTAACTTCATTTAATTATAATTAATTATATTTTACACACATAAAAGATATATTTTTTATATTTTATTAATGAAAATAAATTGTAAAAACTGCTGTCATGTTAAAATTGTGATATAAGAATACAAATGATAGATGTAATATAAATTTAAGTGAAAAATAAAAAAACATCCTCCATTTTTAAGTATTACTATTATTTTATGCATCTATGATTGTTTATTTTGAGAAATTGGCTTTTCAACAAAATCAATTAGTGAGAGAATTAATAAAGAATTAATAAATATAGATGTATGCGTAGATATTGTATACTATAATAATTATTCTGTTTTTCCGAAATTAAAATTTCAAGATAATCAATATAATATTCATAAAAATATTGTATTGATATTGAAAATTTTCAAAAATTTTAATTTTGTCTTAGTCTTGAGCGAATCTTTGTAGCAAAAATCTTGTTTTATATTGTATTATTTTGATTTTATTAATTTTTCTCTTATATTGAATGATTATTTAAAATAATTTAAAATATTTAATATAATTTTTATAATATAATTTAAATTAAGATGGGAAAAAGATTATTATATCTTGTTTATGTCATTCGCGTTTATTTTTTAAAACACAGTATAACATATATATGTTACATGTGTGTGTGTGTGTGTGTGTGTGTGTGTGTGTGTATGTTGCTTTACGAAAATATATATGTATAAGCAGTTGCATATAATGATGCTAAACCGTAGACGTGGCTCACATGCATATAAGAGTAGAGAATCGCATACATATGTTGTACGTAAAATTTTGTTTAGTTTAATAATTGTGTAGTATTTTATATTATTTATTATGCTTATTGTATTAATTACTTCTAAATTTATTAATTTAAATGTTTTTATTTATTAAACAAAGTTTTTTAAATTTGTATATAATATAGTGTGTGCGATTTTTTGTTCATTTAATTTACAAATACACATATTTTAGCTTTTCTTTAAAAATCAATGATCTTGACAAGATCAATAATCTTGACAATCTTACAATTGATTTTGATAACTAAAAATCTTGCCTTGATTTCATTTTTAATTTCGACATAAAATCAAAAGTTTTAAATGTTTAAAATCATATCTTTTCAATTAATGTACACAGCTTTCTGATAATATATTTATTAAAAATTAACTGAATTAAACAAGATTTTAAAAATTGTATATATAAAGTGAGGAAAAAATATAGAAACCTCTAAATTTTTCGGAAACTATGCATTTTAGAAACAAATGTTTCAAACAAAAGTTGTAGGGTTTCAAGTAAGTTGCATTACATAGCAACATCAGTATGATCTTGAAGAGTATTTCAAGTTGTTGTTAAGGTTACCTTCAATTTCTTAAATGGATATTTTTTCATTAGTACTTTTCGAATTAGGAGGCTTCAAATAATTTCTTCATTTTACATAAACCATAAAATATCTAGTAAAACATTCATTTTTCGATTATCTTTCCTTAATACTTTTATGTACAAAATAATGAGAGGAATCAATTGGTGTAAAGAAAACACATAGAAATTTTTAAGAAAAAGTATGTAATTGTTAATTGCAAATTACATATTTTATTTCGAAATAACCATCTATATACGTAAAATAATAACCATTTCTTTATGTGAACATACTATCTTATTTGCCTGGAGTGAATTTTTAAATTAAGGAAATCAGCACAAGTGTCATGCATTGGTAATTCGTTTGTCACGAGTACGGCGATTGCTGTAAAAATGCCACGCGAGCAGTCACTTTGTGCGGACGTAGATACATTCTATTATTAGATACATTTGATTTGATACGGACGATGCAGGCGCTCGCCTATCTTCGATGAGCGAGAATAACATTAATCAAGCCGATTAATCAGTCCGATGCAACGACAGCATGATTGTATCACGTATATGTGCGTGCTTTATTAATTCAACTTCCATATAATGAGAATCAGAAGAGAAGAGATGGTGGGGAAAAATGTCATTTCGCATCGACTGAATCATGTTTCTCAAATTTCGTTCCGTCATCGCAATTGTCATCAAAAATCTTAACATCTGATTCTTCTGTTTACATTATATGATTAAGTCGAAAGAAATTTTCTGTAAAGTTTTTAGAAGGTGAATGTCCTCTACGCATAATTCTTGTGTACGTGTCTTACATGCTTTATACGTTATAAAGCGTCGTAAATTAGACTTTGGATTTATTAAAAAAGAAAGAGAGAGAGAAAAATTATTTTTAGAAAATACATTTAATTTAGAATAGAGAATTTGTGAGACTTGTGTGTGTATCAGTCTAAATATTCAATTAACTATATATGTTAATTCTATTGCATTTTACTTTAGATGTTATAATTTCGCTTTATTTCCTTCTTATTTTAATTTATGTTAATGATAAACTAACTTTCAGTTGACAATAAAAGTTAAATATGTTTTTAGTATATCTATAGTATTATTATTAACTGATGTCAGCTTTCTACAGCAAAATGTAACAAACATATGTTAGCATTAATAATTATATAACGCAATTTTATTTAATGAAATAACTTTCTAGAGTAAATTAATTACTGACAACAATCATAATTACATATTTATATAAATATAATTAAATATAATTAAATATAATTATATAAATATAATTTACATAATTTATAAAATTATATCGAGACATAAGAATGATTTTTTTTATGAATTTATATGAATATATTGATTGAGACTTTTATTAATGTGTTACATAAATTAAATTCAAATGTTAAATACTTCTTCTAAATGTAAATATTTCTTTAACATAATATGTATATATGCATATAAGACTTTGTCGATTTCTAAATTTAACGAGATTGTAACTTTATATGACGATACGATGCAGAACAGAATATTTCTATATAAAAATATCGAAGGAAACATATATACATTGTGCACCAGAACATAAACGAATGAATATATTATTAGACTGACCGATTATACATTGATTTTATTATATCGACATTATATTTTTTTAAATGTGAGATTATTTTTCGATATAATTTTATAAAATTAAAAATAGCAAATGCCATATTTAACTGTATGTGAAAAACTATTAGTGTCTGCTCATATTACATTAATGTTACACTAATGCATTATAAAAAGACGATAAGATAATTATAATTTGAAATTTGCTCCTTTGTGTATACAAAGCGATGGATATTACTTAATTATCAATAATCAAAAGTGTATATAAACTCAATAGATATATAAATATCAATGTTAAATGTATTAATAAAATATAAATTAAATATTCAAATGTGAAACGGCAAATACGTTCGAAAGTTGCCGAGTCGTGTATCGTTAAGATAATATCTAGGTTAGTACTTACGTATGTATGCAAATCGCTATACAACATATGTATACAAATCGATATATTACGCAATCTGGCACTGTTGTATGAAACTTTATTTGACAAAATTTCTTGACTAAATTGGGAACGATGCTTCCTCTAAAATATCGAAACATTAATTTTTTTGAATTGCAATAAATCATCCACAAATTAAAGCATACAAAAATATAGAGAAAACAGATAAAATTTATTTTTCATGTCAAAAAATTTACTAAAATTGCAATATATTTTTTTTAAAGAATTCTTTAAAAATATGTAACTTTGCAAATTTAAAATTTAACAATGACTTTTTCCTTAAAAATCCTGTCGAAAAACATTTTATCTTTATCATAAAATTTGATATAATTATTGAATTAAATTATTTAATGCACACGATTTTTTAACCATAATCTAGTATATTTGGTATTTTCATATGAATTTTGCTTCCATACTTTGATTTGCCTTTTTATTACTCACATGTATTTTTCTCGTAAATTATTGCTACGGTATTGACGATTAAAACTCAATAACTATCAAGTAATTGTAAAGAAAATATTGATTGATCTAACATGGACAATGGGGATTATTACTTTGAAATTTCATTTTCTTATTGCCATTGCACGTGTGTAATCATACGTTTCAATGTCAATATATATGACAATAAGTCACAGATAATATTTATGATTGTGCATAAATTCTATTGTTCTTTCGTGACACGAGGTGGAAAAGCAACTTAAATTTATGCAAAAACATATTTTAAATTAAAACATATGATTTATGTACGTAAAATTGAGAAAATTTTTACTTCAGAATTATTTTAAAATTTTTATTTTAAGATTTTACTTCCGCTGTGCACGTAGAACAAAAAAATACGATAAAATAAAAATGGAATAAATTATATAAAAAAATTATATAATAAATTATAAAAATAAAAATGGAATAAATTAATAATGGAAGATAAAGCGAATCGAAAGTACTGAATGCTTTGTTCACGTCTAAATACTAGTTATCCAATTAATTATTAGATAACTTGTAAAAAGATTATTTCTGGACAAAAAGAGATTTTAAAAAAGTTAGAAACTCGAGTGAGAGAAACAAAAGGAGGCAAAAGGCTCTTCGACTGAGGTTGCGTTCCGTTTATTGCCAATATTATTATTGTCATTATGTCATCTTGTTATTTATCGAATGTTAGACATGCAATAAGATAACGACATGCTAGCGGTATTACTAATGAATTTTGTCATGAATGCAGCCTATCAGTCGTCAAAAAATAAAAATTAGTCGAAAAATAAGACATGCGACGAATAATTAATAAAAAATAAATGCTCGCAGGAAGTCGTTCATGAATCTTTTCCTTTAGTGTGAATTCGTAAAAAATGAAAAATTTTATTAACGAATATTGAATTCGTCGTCGCAAACTTTTCATTTTTCACGAATTCACACTAGAGGAAAAGATTTATGATCGACTACTTGGACAATGGACTCATCAGACGATTGGAAGACGAAAACATGGAAGACAAATAAGTAATAACTTACTCGGATTAGTAAATAAAATATAAATAATAAAATACAATATTACATAAAAATTCGATAAATATATCTCTATTTTGCTCAGTTGTTATTGATTCTATTTTGTTTTAATTTTATCATGATAAATGATGTTTTTCTTATATATCCACTGCTTTATTCACACCAATCCCCATTTTGGAGAATTTGCGATTAATTTTCGTCATGTAATCGCATTTTAATCACAATAATCGAGTAATTTATTAATATGATATTAATCGACAATTAAATTTTAGCTGGTAAGATTACTGCTACTTAATTATATTATTTTAAAGAAAGGAAATAGAATAAGGTAGCTTAATTATGAAAGTATGTAACGTGAAAAAAAGTCTTTTTAATGTTTAATGTTCATGAATCATCATTATACACTTATATTTCTCTCGTGTGGCCTTTTTTAATTTCATCTCCTTTTTATGTATGTTTATAAACGTGCGCCGTAATATTTTTGCAGCCGCGGCGACATTTTCGCAAACGTGCAATACGAGACGAGTCCCTCAGTAAAAGAGTCTTGTTGTTCGTCACTGGTAATCGACGCACAGTTTTCAGATACGTAGTCGATCGCTTTTATCGTCAATATCACACTCGCGATTTTGCACTGTTATTCAAACAAAAATCTGTAAATATTAGAAAATAAATTTTCACGTGTGTGTATATGGATATGTATAGCTATGATAAAACTCACAAACGTTACTATTTCGTGTCGTCGACGGTGTTACATATGTATAAGTGACTAATTCGTTGTATACAAATTTCGATTATTCAAAACAGTTTTGCACAAAAGGGGATTTAAATGTATAATACAAAGACATAGATGCGAATATGCCAAAAATGACACAGATGAAAAATCACGCTTATAAATAATGATTCGATTTCGGCATACAATCGGAATTTGCTGGCGATAGCGACCTAATTTTAAATAACGTACTCCAAAAATATGCCGCTATAAAAAATAATATTATATATATAATATAATAAATAATATTACATATAAAGTTAATGAATATAATAATTAATGAAAAGTTATAATTTTTTTGGAATAATAATTTTTACAATCTTAAATAAATTAAGAATTGTTTACTATTAATAATGCAACGATACGATTTGCATTTGTTTGATTATTTTATCGCAATTTAGCGCAAAGAAATTTCTTATTCGCTTTAGTGTGTTAAGTCTTAAAAAATATTATATTTATGTATAATAGTGGTTATTAGTAGTCATTTTTGTAACGTCACTGATAGATGTGTGATAAGTGAAAAGTGTATGTGTATGCACCTTATATCTATTTCCTATATTTGCGTAGGTAAATATATTGAATTTTGTGTGCTTCTGTGCCATTGTTATATTTCAAAATTCAAATAAAATATATTTATATACATTTTGCATACATATTTTTTGTATAATATAAATAATATGTAATACATAATATAAGTAAAATATGTATATATATATATATATATATATATAGAAAAAAATTCTATATATGTATATAAATTCGCTTCTTCAATCTTTTGTTTACATAATCAAAGATTTTTTCTCATAAAACAATAAATAATTAGAAATATTTTATATAAATTTATTTTTATGTTTGGCTGAATTTCTCTTGCATAGTTTAATTTATAATTTTCTTTTTCCAGTTTAATTTACCTTGATATTAACAGATTAGATATATAGATATCTATTTATTGATTTTTTGCTTACATGATAATATCGTAATAAAGACAGTAATTTGAGAAAAAAAATGATTTTTTATAGAACGAGTAAAAATAAAAAGATATTTGCGATTAATTAATATCGCTAAAAATTGTCTCTCTTATCATTTTTATAAAATCTGTACAAATCTTTCTGACATATTAAATTCTCAACTTGACTTTATTACAGAAAGCGCCGTTATCGAATGTATATTGTGATAAAATAACATTATCTAAATAGGATTACATATATATATATATATATATACGGATCATGCATACCATTAACACGTAAATGTACCGTTCATTTTAGCTTCAATATACTTTTATCGTTTTATATAAATTAATTCACTTCGATTCAACATAGAATGTGGAAATTTACATTAATTTTACATGTGCATACAGCATACATCATCTGATCGTTAAAATAACGACGTTGAAAGATATGAAGATAGACGTTCGGGAATTAAATTGCGACAAGCTCATGTAAATTGGTCGTAGATTATACTTGCTGATGGATTTTGATTTTTTTTAATTCGCTATTAGATGATATCTTTGCGTAATAGTGACAATATTATGTTCGTGCGACGTAGAAAAGTGACGTGAGCCGGAATCGACTGGTTGAAACCAATTGCGATATTACGATATTTCTTCAGATTTTTCGAATGCGCGAAAATATTAATATTCATATACGCACAATTTTAATATCGATACGCGTTTCTATTCTCTCTCTAAGTTAATGTCAAATTATGCGCGGGAGTTGGACACGATTATGGAATCAAAGAGCGTGTCTATCAAAGCTTCTCTATCCAAATTGACTGCGGCACGAATTATGTATCAAATGCGAGAATATATTTCACATACACGTGAACATTTGTATTTCATGTAAAATTACGCATATATTGAACTGTCTATCAACGCGATATATGTTGATATATGGGCAAGCAAATTGCCGATCAAACGTGGGATAAAATCATAGTCATAATAAACGATCATAGTATTTGAAATGCATATTGATAATGAACTGTTAATTTACATCGCACTTAAACGTGAAAATATACTCTCCACAAGAGAAAGATATTATTACGGCAAATCAAATTGGTGCATAAAATGATGAATTTTTATTAAAGAAAAATTAATTAAATTAAAGTGGTTTGAAAGTATGTAAGAAAAAATTACAAAAACAAGGCAGATAACCACAGGCATTGATGTGCGATGCAAATCTTGACAATATGAAAACAAAATTATTTAACATTATTATTATATTTTTGATATTTTAATATACTAGTTAATTTTGTTAATGATTTTTATTATTATGTACATCTGTCAATATGGAATATTTCTCGCCTTAAACATCATAATTAAAAATGTCTTGTAAAAATTTGCTATTTAGAAAGTCTCTTCATATTTTTCGAATGAATATCTTGATATTTAATCGATACACGATACAATCTGCTTCGATGTGATTCTACTTGCTGCAAGATTGCTGTATACTCGCGCATTTCAAAAATATAATGTATATTTTCCGGCTGTCAATCAAAAATACATTCATAACGAGGCTAAATTTTAACGTTCGTTTTTTTAAAATGATGAATCATTAGCCTCCCTACCTTTCTTCCGTTTTGCCTCCCTCCACTCATTCAAATAGTAACCACTACCATGAATACGTTTACTTTTAAAGACAGTACTTGCTGTCTTTCCGAGACAGAAGCAAGCAGGTGTGCGTAATGTTTGATGGAGGCAATTTATTAATTCGCTTATCGACGATCGTCTACTTAAAAAAACGTCTGTATACTCTTCCGATAGGCATCTCGAATACGTGTTAAGGTAATAGAATATGTAGATTTGTGCGCGACGAAAGAAGATAACGCGCCCACGCGGAAAACGTTTTCGTTCAAATACGACAAAAGTGAGACCATCGTAAATGTCACCTCTATAAACGCGCTGTATTTTCTGAAACGCGAGTGCACACGATTCGCGGGAAAAGACGTTTTACCCTATAATCGCCGCAAAATATCAAGGTACGTATTTCTCATATGTAAACATACGTCGGGGGATGCTGGGGATGTTACGACAGATGCGTAGTGTCTCGAAACTTGCATACAGATAGCAAAATGACGGAGCATAATAAGTTTATAATTAAATAATTATCAACGAATTAATTTCTTATGAAAGTTATCAGTGATCATGATAAGCAAGTAATTTCTCAGATAAAATAATCTTAATCATTTAAGTTTAATCTGAAACATTAAATTAATAAATAGAGACGCAATCGACTGATAGTCTATGTGTTTCTTTTACTGATGAAGTATTGTTTAAAGACTTACAATCAGTTATAAATCATTAGTGATTGATGTCTGAAAAATCGATGGCTATCGGAGAATTTTCAGTAACGTTATTTAATTATCGGAATGACTGAAAAAGATGTAATATTTCTGTTTAAATCTGCAGAGAGAACTCTGTCTTCTCTCTATTATTCGAGTTATCAAGAATATCCGCTTTTTTCATATTTATAATTCACTTCGTGCAAGCGCTCGAATTCCGCGAGAAATCTTTTTAATTAAAAAAAAAGAAAATCAAGAGAAAAAACCGCGTAAAATTAATAATCCGTTCTGTTATCTCATCTATGCCTTTCTAAAGTTAAAGAAATCTTTGTAAACCTCGAATATCCTTTAGATCAACGTGAATCATTTGGAAATTTTCTCGAGAATCGTCTTATCTTAAGTCAAAATAATTTTAAATCAAATAAATATATCAAGATACGCTCGATTATTATTAACATTGCCTGGTTGATAAAACGCGAAAACGGATAAACTTGACGACTTTGCGAAACGTTCAGAGTTCGCATACATTAATAATCGATATCAAAATAGAATCGTAAATTGAATAGAAGCGAAAATACTTATTCTATTTGCGATGCTTGTCCTATTTACAGTTTACTATCCGACACGGCCAAAATAATATCTTGTGACACAACGGGATAAATTGCGCAATTGACCAGCGATTTGGCACAATTGGAAGATTACTTCATTTGGTTCAGGGTCCCGAGATTCTTTCTGGTCTCTCTTTCGTAGGGACGTGGCTTTTTCCCGCATCCCGTTGGGAAATCAATAACATGTAGCATGTAGAAGTTGACCCTGTGCTTGAGAGAGGTCAGCACGCAGCCATCGGGAGATGCAGAATTTTTCTCTCGCCATATATATATTCTACAAACATTTCATAATTGCCTGTTTATTTATTTCAACAATAGAGGGATTCCGTCTCTCGTGAAGAAAAGTGCGGTTTTGTGCAAAGGGGAAAAGGGAAAAAGGAAAAGCTAAAAAGAAACAAGGAAATCGCTTTAGAAAAATTCTCATTCCCTCATTAAAATATGTATTCAAATTACCTGACAGTAGAGAAGATGTTTTGCGAAAGGGATCCTTTGCATATTCAACATTCGTGCAGAAGCGATCCACGCAAATTCACAGCGTAACTTTTACACGCATATATTCTTTTTTTTTTCAAAAGGAAGTCAAGGATAAATTGCTAAATTCTAACTGATTGCAAGCCGTTTATGTCATCCGTGTATCTCGATTAATCGCTTGCGCGCGCGTTAAACTCTTTTGGAATCCTGCGCGCGATCTTACATCGTATTCTTTATTTTTCGAGTCTTTCCGAATAATTATTCACGCTCTCTGATCGCTCTATTTCTCTGGAGCACTATACTTTTCCACCTATTATTCGCTATCCAAACACGCCCGGCATCTCGTTACATGCATACGTTGTTTATGCACCGCCGGGATAGCCGGCTGCTCTCGGTGAAGCCGTTTCCGAGGATAGTTCCTCTCTCCTCTGCGGCACTTTTTATGGGAAAAAGCTTTCTGTAGCCGCCTTGCCAGGGAACTGATCCCGTTTCTTTATGTAACACCCGCGCCCAAGTCCGACGCGCGACTGGCATCATTTTTCATTCGCGATGTTCCTTAAGAAACTTGAAACATAAAGCGCCAGGTTGAACTTTCGATCGGCCAGGTCGGCGCGGCGGCGATTCACGACGAGCGCTATAAACTTCGCATATGATTGCAGTTTACGGGATATAAAGGACGACAGAGCATGGGGCTGTGCTGCTCGGAGAGAGACGAGGCTCGCTCGTTGCAACCGGGACACGAAAATGGTACGGATGATATTCGCATCGATGTAAATTGTAAACTGGAAGTGCATGAAAAATAACTCTTCCGCGCCGAAAAAATATGTATATATTCGGATAAGCGGAGAGAAAAATTCTATACAGTAGGGAAATACAACGAAGAAATACGGGATTGTGATAAATTGTATATGTATATTAATAAATTATGGAAAATATAAAGAGCGAAAGGTCTACTTTGCATTTCCAATTTATAATTGTCGAGGAAATATTAAGAATGTTTTGTACCTATTTTCAAAATATTGAGAAAAATTATTTAATTTTGATTTAAAAATTGCACTGAATTATTTAATTTTGATTTAAAAATTGCACTGAAGATTCTAAACATATGTAAGGACATTCTGCACAATTTTCATTAAATTCTCAATATTTTGTAAATATTTCCAAAATATTGAGAATTTAATGAAAATTGTACAGAATGTCCTTACATATGTTTAGAATCTTCAGTACAATTTTTAAATCGATTCACTAAAGCGTTCACAAGTTATAAGGATTTTAATTTGCACCGAATTAACATGTGTTCTTATGGGAAACGTATAATCACATCGATTCAAATGACAAAAACACATGGAAATAATATTCAGAATTTGTTTAAAATTTGCAAAAGTTTAGATACAGAGGAAATATTTGGTCAAATAATATTATACGAGTACTAACTAGTTAAAAAGATATTAAATATAATTCAATGAAGTTAGCCATGTCTGTCACAAGGCGAAATTCTCTACCAAAGTTAATCATTTCGATTAACAAAATTCGGAATAAATTGAAAGGAATTAGGCTCTATATGTATTTAAACAACACGACAAGAAACTAGCGAATAAGAGCCACCGCGGATGATAATGCGTAAGTTTTAATTGTTTGCGATAATTTAAACGAGCACGGGACATATGCATATGTTTCACTTGTAATATTCCATACAATTTCTTACTCAAGATACACCAAAAGTGGATATATTCGTCAATATTAATTTTCAGCTACTTTTTGCTGGGATTGTACATACAAAACATTCTTAATGTAATTTAATTCATTTTGTGTGCGTTTTTTTTAGTTGTATTTTTTCCAAAACTATACTAGATTTAAAGTTGTAAGAAAACATTTTGCTTAGATTTGTTCTGTAGATTTTGTTTAGATTTTTTATTATATTGTATAACACAGAACCTTATTTCTAAGACTTCCAAATTTGCGCTGTTTTTGAAGCAGAATTTTAAAATTGCTTCTTTTCACATGATATTCCGTCGAATCATCTTAATGCGAAAAAAAATACGTTAATTCTTATTATTCATATTCGGAAGAGTATTTGCACAAACTTGTGATAAATGTTGCCTAGTTGTACGTTGTATAACAGAGGCAAATTGTACAAAGTCTTATGTGCATAGTCAACCGTTTGAAGAGGAGGATCAAGGTGGGCTTATACTTCCAGCCGGATTATTCTTCCAGTTAGAGAGCGTTGTTTAAGTATCACTGCTTAACGTGGTATTAAATCACTAAGTATACATGTACGATGAACACGAGCTTGTTAAGTAGATCCTAGACATCGTGCTGTGCAATTGCGCGTGGACTGTATTTGATTATTCAATATTACATAACTCGCGCAGCTATTTTTCAACTTGAATACGTGCATCGTATAATATATGATTTATTGTTTATAAACATATAAATATGTACGCAATAAGAAATATTATAAATTGATAGTAATATTATCTTTCCATTATGAATTTAATGTAAACTATATATGTAAGATAATATAAATTTATTTTATCTGATTTAATGCTTTTAAATAATAATTTAATATATACCGTGAGATAAGTATATTTTTTTTCTTTTTATTATAATTTTTTAAATTAAAAAATAAAAGATTATATAATATCGAATTGGTGTTGTATCTTCTCTCTTTCCGAATAAAATTATGCATTGTAATTATTAAAAATTTATGTGTAAAACGTTTTTATAATTCTAGTTAATTTTACAAATCTTTTTAATACAAGTCGATACAGCAATAGATTTTTTTACTAGAATGTTTTCTGAGAGTCTTTTTATTTGTGTGTCATTTTATTTATTGTCTTTTCTAGGAATTATGAAAGATTCTATTCGAAGTGATATAGAAAAATTCGGACTTTATCAGACGGTCATGTTGGTATTTATATGCATACCATTAATTTTACCGGGAATGTTCACGCTTTCTTACGTATTTACTGCAAGCGAAATTAAATACAGGTACGAATATGAAAATGTATCAATTATTTAGATTTGTATTCGCACATGTTGTCTAAATATCACAAGATTTAATCTTTCAAAGATTAGAAGATAATCAATCGTCCAAAATACACAGATGTTTAGTGCCGGAATGCGAGAATCCGGAAAACACGACGTTCGAGCCACCGTGGATCAACATTTCCGCGCCGAAAATCAACGGAAAGATCTCCGAATGTACACGTTACGCGGTGCGGGACAATCACTTTGGCACATGCTCGAAGACATCGTTCACCAACGTGACTCGCGAATGCGGTTCTTGGGTTTACGATCCGTACGAGCATACGATACTCGATGAGGTAATTTGTTGGATTGTTGAGAATCGACGCGCATTTTCTATAACTCGTTCTTTCCCTTATCCTCAGTGGGATTTGACCTGCGATGATAATCGATGGAAACTCACGCTAGTAGGCACGATACAGAGCGTCGGGCAGTTCATCGGTTTGATATTCGCTGGATATATATCTGACAGGTGAGATGCAATATTTCTCTCGTATAGACGTTAATTAATTAATTCCGAATAAAATATTCACACGTCATCGCGTTTTCATCTCACGTTTTATTCTACATTATGACGAAAAAGAGAAGATGTAATTCGAAATTTCAGAATACACGCGATAATTGAATCATAATTATTTTTATGGATGTTTTGTAGTTATTTTCGAAATATTGAGAATTTAATGAAAATTGTACAGAATGTCCTTACATATGTTTAGAATCTTCAGTACAATTTTTAAATTGATTCACTAAGTTATAAGGATTCACAAGTTATAAGGATTTTAATTTAAGGCACCGAATTAACATGTGTTCTCATGGGAAACGTATAACCACGTCGATTCAAATGACAAAAACACATGGAAGTAATATTCAGAATTTGTTTAAAATTTGCAAAAGTTTAGATACAGAGGAAATATTTGGTCAAATAATATTATACAAGTACTAACTGGATTAAAAAAATATTAAATATAATTCAATGAAGTTAGCCATGTATCTGTCACAAGGCGAAATTCTCTGCCAAAAGTTAATTATTTCGATTAACAAAATTCGAAATATTTCAGTATTCCACACAATTCCTCATATTTAAAATTCAAAAGTGGATATTCGTCAATATTTTCAGCTACTTTTTGCTGATTGTACATACAAAACATTCTTAAATTTTCGAAATTAAAGAATATTTATAGAAAAATTAGAATTATTATTAAAATAATTAGAATATAATTAGAATGATTATAGAATTATTTATAGCATAATTAATATAGAGAATTATATCATATATAAGGATTATTAATTTTTCATAATAATTATAAAATTATTAATTATTAACTATTCTTTGATTTTATTATTATATTATTATATTATTATCTTATATATTTATTATATTATTTTATAGTAGAAACGTATTATTTTCATTATATTATTATATAATAGAAACATATTATTTTTTGAGTACATTATTTTATATTATTTTATATTATTTTTTCGTAGAGTATTCGTGGAGTATTCGTCAATATTTTCAATTACTTTTTGCCGGGATCGTACACACAAAACATCCTTAATATAATAATATCTTTAATAATAATTAATTTAATAATTGATTTAATAAATATAATTATTTTTTTATTTAATTAATAAATCGATTTAATAATTTTCGATTTATTAATTTGCGTTTCCTTTTCATCATTGGATATTTTTCTGTAAATCAATGTGACTTGTAGAGAAGACGTCTTGCATTTATGTATTCAAGTTAATTCTTATTGACTCTATTCAGAAGGTCAGAAAATTCATTACTTTACTCTTTTCATGCATCGTTGGATATGCTTGGCTAGGCAGCTGTATCGCGGAATATTTTTCCGTTAGGTTTTTTTAAATCTAATCAGCGATAAATCGTACAGTTACGAGATTCCTATATATTTTTACGTAATACGCAGCACGGGACACCGGAACAAAGTTTCTGTAGCTCCGTCGATTTCACGCATTCTCGATAAGAAGGCCAGGTAGCGTCGCCAGGAATTTCACATTTGCGGAGCTTTACACCGAGAGAAGAGGACACACAACACGTAAAGGAAACGCATCGTTTATACGCTTTCCCGTCGTCTATTTCCAGGTATGGGAGGCGAACCTTTTTGACGCTGACAACGTCTCTGGCCGGAGTCAGCGGCCTGATACATTCCTTCTCCGTGAATTATTGGATGTTTCTCGCATTCGAGTTCCTCGACGCCATCATGGCGTCCGGAATTTACAGCGCGGGATTTATTTTAGGTACGCTAATAACTCGGAGACAATAGCTTGAGGGTTGAGAGGGGGGGGGAGGGAAAATATGCGACACCTGTGAAGCGTTATGTTTGCTCCACATCCCATTTACGTGTGCACGGAGTATATTCTAAATACGATGCATACGATGCTCTTTACTCATCTTTAAAAAACAAATACGCGACACACGTATAACATTATTTTCTTGACGGAGCTTCATATCACCGGCTTATTTCATTATTTACTAAAATTGTAGCTTGACGAATTAGAAGATATATATTAAGATATCCAACAAAATCTTTTCGTAACGATGCAGAAATTTTCTCGGGAAATGTAAAAATTGTGTCAAGATAATACATTTTTGTTAGAGATTTTGAGATTACTTTTGGAAAAAGCGCAAAAGAAAACAGATTTTGTGTAATATCAAAAAAATGTTTAATGTGGAATAATTTAAAAATTTCGAGAAACATACCTATTTTAAATCAATAATTGATTCTTATCATTGACACGTACTTTTCTTATTAAATATCTCGATATCTCATATTAGATTTATCGATTGTAAATAATCTCAAGAGATTCGCTATATTTTATAATATCAAGCAATGTTATCGCAAAAAAATCTTCGAAATCACAAATGCACTTTGTATCGATCATCCTTTACATTCGTCTTTTCATTAACGTAATCATTATCAATTTACGTAAGATCAGGCAAAGTTAAATTATATTAAAATTATAAAGTGTATCTATTAATTATATGTTTCGCTCGGCTTAGACACAGCAATATTTATGCGTGTAACTTCATTCGCAGGAGTAGAGATGATAGAAGTAAAGAACAGAGTTTTCGCGAGCAGCGTCATATGCTGCATGTTCACTACAGGCGAGATATTGTTGGGATTGATCGCGAGCTGGCTAAGATCCTGGCGGATGCTTCTTAGGGTGGTGTACGCGCCGGGACTATTGACCATTTTCTTGCCCCTGCTCATTCCAGAATCGGTCAGGTAATCCCTCTTAATCTTAACGAACACGCGAGAATGTATCGTCATCTTCGATCGCAAGATTTCGACAAGAGATTCTATTTTAATCGGCAAGAGATTCCATTTTGCAGTTTGTATACTAGATCGATTTTTCCTTTGGATGTTTTTCCAAAATTGAAAGCTACGATCAATCGCGTTAAAAGATTAGAAATTAATTAGGAACGTTTATATACGATTTAAAGCAACTTTTAAAACTCACTCAAATGAATTTACATTTACGAATAATGTAGATAAAATATTTTATATCTTTTTAATAAAGTGAAATTTTATGAAACAATTTGACGCACGCGATGTTATGTTCAAGATGGCTGTTGTCGAAGGGTAAAACTGACAAAGTGGAGAAAATATATCGCAAAATGGCGCGAATGAATAACCTGCCAGAAACGGAAGAGGCTATCAATATATTCAAGGAATTAAATGTTGCTACAAACGAAACGGTATGTTTATTTCTTATTTTCTCTCGCTCTTTCACTATTACTAAAGATAACAATAAAATAAAACACTATACAAGATAAATCATACTTGCCAATTTTCGTCTTTCCAGTTTATAAACGCTAACGTAAGATGATAATTTGCGATTCGCGACTACGAAATCGATGATATAATCTTTCAGAAAAGCGAGCTATCGACGCTGGACAAAAAGAAACCGATCGTGCAGGTTTTCCATAGCCCGGTGATACTCATTCGTTTGTTCATCTGGTCGTTCTGCTGGATTACAAACACCTTCGTTTTTTATGGATTGTCGTTGAATTCCGTGGCATTCGCCGGAGATAAGTACATCAATTTCATACTCGTCGTCGTGGTCGAGATACCGGCTTTCGGTCTCGCCTGGCTGCTGACCGATCGCATTGGCCGTAAACCAACCCTCTCCAGCACGTTCCTGCTGAGCGGACTATTCTGCCTCGCTATCCAGTTCATTCCGAAAGGTAAAAAAAAATTAAGACAAAAACACCGTTTTTCACAGCCGGAGATGAATCTCTTTCTGCCCGTATCGTCGCGAGTCGCTTATGAATAGTAGCTGAATTTGCGATTAAGAAGAAGCTTATCTCGCCGAGAAATTTTTGAATCATTACTCTGTTTCTTTTCCTACGTTTTATATTCTTTTTAGATCATGAGCTCTTTGCTCTGTTAATTTTTTTATCTGATCTTTCTAAGAAAATTTAATTGCACACAATTAAAGAAAATTAAAGATTGAAAATATTCTTATTCATTTATTTTTCTCTTCGATTTTATCAAGAAATTTTTGAATCATTACTCTGTTTCTTTTCCTACGTTTTATATTCTTTTTAGATCATGAACTCTTTGCTCTGTTAATTTTTTTATCTGATCTTTCTAAGAAAATTTAATTGCACACAATTAAAGAAAATTAAAGATTGAAAATATTCTTATTCATTTATTTTTCTCTTCGATTTTATCAAGAAATTTTTGAATCATTACTCTGTTTCTTTTCCTACGTTTTGTATTCTTTTTAGATCATGAGCTCTTTGCTCTGTTAATTTTTTTATCTGATCTTTCTAAGAAAATTTAATTGCACACAATTAAAGGAAATTAAAGATTGAAAATATTCTTATTCATTTATTTTTCTCTTCGATTTTATCAAGAAATTTTTGCATCATTACTCTCTGTTTCTTTTCCTACGTTTTACATTTTTTTCAGATCATGAGCTCTTTATTCTGTTAATTTTTTTGTCTGATCTTTCTAAGAAAATTTAATTGCACATAATTAAAGGAACTAAAGATTGAAAATATTCTTATTTATTTCTTTTTCTCTTCAATTTTATCAAGAAATTTTTGAATCATTACTCTGTTTCTTTTTCTACGTTTTATATTTTTTTTAGATCATGAGCTCTTTGCTCTGTTAATTTTTTTTTATCTTTCTAAGAAAATTTAATTGCACACAATTAAAGGAACTAAAGATTGAAAATATTCTTATTCATTTCTTTTTCTCTTCAATTTTACCAAGAAATTTTTGCATCATTACTCTCTGTTTCTTTTCCTACGTTTTACACTTTTTTCAGATCATGAGCTCTTTATTCTGTTAATTTTTTTGTCTGATCTTTTTAAGAAAATTTAATTGCACATAATTAAAGGAACTAAAGATTGAAAATATTCTTATTTATTTCTTTTTCTCTTCAATTTTATCAAGAAATTTTTGAATCATTACTCTGTTTCTTTTTCTACGTTTTATATTTTTTTTAGATCATGAGCTCTTTGCTCTGTTAATTTTTTTTTATCTTTCTAAGAAAATTTAATTGCACACAATTAAAGGAACTAAAGATTGAAAATATTCTTATTCATTTCTTTTTCTCTTCAATTTTACCAAGAAATTTTTGCATCATTACTCTCTGTTTCTTTTCCTACGTTTTACACTTTTTTCAGATCATGAGCTCTTTATTCTGTTAATTTTTTTGTCTGATCTTTTTAAGAAAATTTAATTGCACATAATTAAAGGAAATTAAAGATTAAAAATATTCTTATTCATTTCTTTTTCTCTTCAATTTTACCAAGAAATTTTTGCATCATTACTGTCTGTTTCTTTTCCTACGTTTTATATTTTTTTCAGATCATGAGCTCTTTGCTCTGTTAATTTTTTTATCTGATCTTTCTAAGAAAATTTAATTGCACAATTAAAAGAACTAAAGATTGAAAATATTCTTATTTATTTCCTTTTCTCTTCGATTTTACCAAGAAATTTTTGCATCATTACTCTCTATTTTTTGTCTTATATTTTTTTATATATATTTTTGAACCATATATTTTTTTTCGCTGTTCATTCTTAATTTTTTTATAATATTTATCGTTTCTAAGAAAATCGAAGAAATGGTACATAATTAGAAGAAACAAGAAAAATACTTTTCAAGATAATACTTTGATCCTTTTACTTTTTATCATTATGAAAATATTATTATAAATGCTGTTTTCATTTTACAAAGCTTTGGTTGTAGATACTTCTACTTATTTCTTTTTCTTTTTGATTCTAAAAAATCTAAGCATCATGTACGATAATGGTGGCTATTAAGTTATTAAGAAACGTAATGATACCTGTTATTAAGGAATTATAAAAATTTCCTGTTTTTTCCCTCGTTATTATCCTCGTACTTTTATTAGAATCGCGAAATTTAATCGAGTGTGGGAGTAAACGAGGCATAATCGCGCGGAGATACGATAAGCTGTGACATGTATAACGCTGTCGCGTAATATTGTACAATATATTACTGCATAATCCGAGTCCGAATGCAAAGAACGTGTTGAAATAACGTACCGGCATCTCGTTCGGATTAGCGTTCGCAACCGCGCGTGTAATTATGTCCCGGTGAGCTGCATGAGGGGGATCGCGATCCTGGATGATTTATCGCCAAGCTGTGTTTCAGGTACCTGGAGTTACGCGCCTTTACTTTTGTACATGGCCGGGAAATTGTGCATCACCATAGCGTTCGCCACCACCTACATCTACACCGCCGAGTTGTTCCCGACGACGCTCAGGCATTCCTTGCTAGGGTTTTGCAGCATGGTGGGTCGCATTGGCTCAATCCTGGCACCGCAGACGCCTCTTCTGGTGAGTCAACAAACGCGGGTTAAACCAACATCTCTTGCGATACGTATGAGAAAAGAAAAAACATTCTTAAGTGGACGTCTTTAATTTATATTGATTAGATTGAGATTAGATTGATGAAATTGATTAGATTGAGTAGAAATAAATAGAAGTAGAACTAATAGTTTCGAGTATTACTCTTGAAGGATTAGTATAAGAGTCTCTTAAGGATGTTTTGTAGCTATTTTCAAAATATTGAGAATTTAATGAAAATTGTACAGAATGTCCTTACATATGTTTGGAATCTTCAGTACAATTTTTAAATCGATTCACTAAAGCGTTCACAAATTATAAGGATTTTAATTTGCATCAAATTAACATGTATTCTTATGAAACGTATAACCACGTCGATTCAAATGCCAAAAACACATGGAAATAATATTCAGAATTTGTTGAAAATTTGCAAAAGTTTAGATACAGAGGAAATATTTGATCAAATAATATTATACAAGTACTAACTGGTTAAAAAGATATTAAATATAATTCAATCAAGTTAGCCATGTATCTGTCACAAGGCAAAATTCTCTGCCAAAAGTTAATCATTTCGATTAACAAAATTCGGAATATTTCAGTAAAAACGCAATAAATATTAAAAATACATCTCTGCACTGTAGCTAATTGTAAGATCAAATTGTAATATTCCACACAATTTCTTAAGTGGACGTCTTTAATTTATATTGATTAGATTGAGATTAGATTGATGAGATTGATTAAGTAGAAATAAATAGAAGTAAAATTAACAGTTTCGATGAATATTACTCTTGAAGGATTAGTATAAGAGTCTGTTAAGGATGTTTTGTATATGTATTTTCAAAATATTGAGAATTTAATGAAAATTGTACAGAATGTCCTCACATATGTTTAGAATCTTGAGTACAATTTTTAAATCGATTCACTAAAGCGTTCACAAGTTATAAGGATTTTAATTTGCACCGAATTAACATGTCTTATGGGAAACGTATAACGTCGATTCAAATGACAAAAACACATGGAAATAATATTCAGAATTTGTTTAAAATTTGCAAAAGTTTAGATATAAAAGTTTAGAATTTGCAAAAGTTTAGAGGAAATATTTGATCAAATAATATTATACAAGTACTAACTGGTTAATAAGATATTAAATATAATTCAATCGAGTTAGCCATGTATCTGTCACAAGGCAAAATTCTCTGCCAAAAGTTAATCATTTCGATTAACAAAATTCGGAATATTTCAGTAAAAACGCAATAAATATTAAAAATACATCTCTGCACTGTAGCTAATTGTAAGATCAAATTGTAATATTCCACACAATTTCTTAAGTGGACGTCTTTAATTTATATTGATTAGATTGAGATTAGATTGATGAGATTGATTAAGTAGAAATAAATAGAAGTAAAATTAACAGTTTCGATGAGTATTACTCTTGAAGGATTAGTATAAGAGTCTGTTAAGGATGTTTTGTATATGTATTTTCAAAATATTGAGAATTTAATGAAAATTGTACAGAATGTCCTCACATATGTTTAGAATCTTGAGTACAATTTTTAAATCGATTCACTAAAGCGTTCACAAGTTATAAGGATTTTAATTTGCACCGAATTAACATGTGTTCTTATGGGAAACGTATAACCATGTTGATTCAAATAAAAACATATAAAACACATAAAAACACATGGAAATCATATTCAGAATTTGTTTAAAATTTGCAAAAATTTATATATAAAAGTTTAGAATTTGCAAAAGTTTAGAAGAAATATTTGATCAAATAATATTATACAAGTACTAACTGGTTAATAAGATATTAAATATAATTCGATGAAGTTAGCCATGTATCTGTCACAAGGCGAAATTCTCTGCCAAAAGTGAATCATTTCGATTAACAAAATTCGGAATATTTCAGTAAAAACGCAATAAATATTAAAAATACATCTCTGCACTGTAGCTAAGCTCAAATTGTAATATTCCACACAATTTCTTAAAATTTCTTAAAATTTCTCAAAATACACTAAAAATGGATTCGTGGAGTATTCGTCAATATTTTTAATTACTTTTTGCCGGGATCGTACACCCAAAACATCCTTAAAAAATGGGGTTCTTTCTAAAATTATCTAACATGTTTATTTTATGAGATGTTCGAAAATTCTCTCTGATTGCGTCATGTCTCGTTTACATTCAGGCGCAAATAATGCCCTCGCTGCCGGTCATCCTATTTGGGTCCATGGGCATGATCGCGGGCATGCTGTCTCTAATCTTCCCGGAAACTTTGGGGACGAAACTTCCGGACACCATATGGGAAGCGGAAAACATCGGTAGACTCAAGTCAAACGAGACGCGCAAAATTCCGGATCTTAAGAAGGACACAAAGACTCGTCAAGTCTGAGAGACAGAAAGAGAGAGAGAGAGAGAGAGAGATAGCAATCATTTTTAAAACTTTATCGGCAACACGTTCCTTTCGGACACCCCAGATATCGATAAGGGATCTTTACAAGATCTACGATGTCTAAAAAAATATATAAAGGATATAATTTTTATTACAGGCACCGAGATTTGGCACCGAGAGAGTCTGCCACGCTGCAGATTTTATCTGTCGGCGATTTGAATAAGCGCGATGTATTTTTCGGATCTTAAGAAGGACACAAAGACTCGTCAAGTCTGAGAGAGAGAAAGAGAGAGAGAGAGAGAGATAGCAATCATTTTTAAAACTTTATCGGCAACACGTTCCTTTCGGACACCCCAGATATCGATAAGGGATCTTTACAAGATCTACGATGTCTAAAAAAATATGTAAAAAAAGGATATAATTTTTATTACAGGCACCGAGATTTGGCACCGAGAGAGTCTGCCACGCTGCAGATTTTATCTGTCGGCGATTTGAATAAGCGCGATGTATTTTTCTAGGCCACGTGACTGTTTACCTTCCGCGAAACCATCCACCGTCCCGTCATTCGTCTTAGTTCCCGCGCACGGAGGAAGGATTATAATATCTTCCGACGTAAAATCTTCACGTGCGTGCAATTCACAAGGCGTGTGCTGGTGGAAATAAATCGCGCGGATCTCGTATTTGTACAATATTCGTACATCACGTTTTCTCGTCTCTTCGTTACGCGCATTCTTGGAGCATTTGCATACTACTCTTCATTAATTTGTTCCTAGGCTTCTTCACGTTGTAAGAGAAACGATAGAATTGTAGCCAATATCAGCGGCAATTGATGTTGATTTATTGACCTAATTATCGATTGTCCTATATTGAAAAAAAAAAATTGATTGCATTAATTAGAAATCTGGTAGATTTAATCAGTGTCTATTGGAAAATGGACGAATCAGAATTTCTTTAGGAATTAACAGATGAGTATGATTAATTTTTTCCTGTTAAATTTATCAGATTTTCTTGGTAATAATACTAAACTTACAACAAAAATGGCATCTGTGTCCATGTTTAGTTAATACAATAAGAGTTTTATAGATTCAACCAGGAAATACTAACTAAATCTTTGTGATAAAGTCTATTAAACGTTAGAAGAAATCGAGTCTTATCGTGATAACTAGAAATTCTGCTGGTTTAATCAAAATGCCTTCTATCAGATATGTCTTGTTCATACAATTAAACGATTTTTCTCAGAGTATCGTTCTTGAGAAAGTAAAAAAATGCACTGAGAAAAAAATCTGGTTGCATTAATTAGAAATCTGATAGATTCAACCAGTGTCTGTTGGAAAATGGTCGAATCAGAATTTCTTTACGAATTACCAGATGAGTATGATTAATTTTTTCCTGTTAAATTTATCAGAATTTCTTGGTAATAATATTAAACTTACAACAAAAATGGCATCTGTGTTCATGTTTAGTTAATACAACAAGAAGTTTTATAGATTTAATCAGAAAATACTAATCAAATCCTTGTAGTAAAGTCTATTAAACGTTCTAGTTAGAAGAAATCGAGTCTTATCGTGATAACTAGAAATTCTGCTGATTTAATCAAAATGCCTTCTATCAGATATGTCTTGTTGATATCAATTAAACAATTTTTCTCAGTGTAAGAAGGCCTAGGAACGAATTAATGAAGAGTGTACATCCGTATTAATACACTATTTTTAAAAGTAAATACGCATTGCGTTTTGCTCTAGCCTATTATTTCGCAGAGACGTGACACCTAAGATGAATGCAGTGAAAATGTGAAGAAAGAGATGTTGCATATTTGTTTCCTCAAATTTGTCTACGCAGCAATAATTTGCTCGTCCATGAATTGTCAAGTAGTCATGCACCTGTCAAGAAAGAGAATATTTGCGTTGTACCGGTATTATGTAATGTTGTCACGCGATTGTTCAGTATACGACACAAGCGTTTATTTATTACCTTCAATTCTCTATTTATCTTATAATTTAACAGCGTAATTTATTTTTATTATTGTAACTTAATTATTCTGAAAGACATTAATATATATATATTATGTACGTATTTCGATTGTGCATATATTCGCGATGCATTCAAGAAACTAAAGTATTTCAAGTATTATTAATTAGAGGTAGCACGATAATTGGAGTTTTCAATTTCTTTTCTCGATACAGTATTTTTTATTTAACGCAAACATGTACGAAATGATAGATCGTTATTGTATGATATTGAAAATAGTGTTGGAGAACAATAAATTGTACGAAATAAATTATTCAAACAAATAATGTACTCAAGCATCACATAAAGAAATACAGAAATATTCCTCTTTTTACACGAAAAAACATGTTTTTTTTTTATTTTCATACTTTAATTGTCAAATAAAGATGCGCATCTCGGCTGTATTGCTCTAAAAGGATGCGCAGCTTCAGATTATCGCGCCCGGGCGAGCCTCCCTGGTGCAAAAGCAAGTAAATGAAAATACAATTTGCATGTTTTTCGTTTGTCTGCGTTATACCGTTGCCCGTAAAATGGCAACTTTTGTAGCTCACGTCGCAAACCCGCGTGCGACGCGCGCATAACTTTCTTCCGGAGAGATATTATCGCTGAGCGAAGACTGTGCGCGCCGTTTCTCTTCAATTTTTAACGAAACGGAATACGAACGGGCGGAATATTTCGACGGAACGAATTTTCGTCGCGCGCAGTCGGACCGAAATTGAGGCTCGCGATGCAACAGGGCATCGCACGCGATGTACGCGCTGTTATTTTATGTATACGGATAACATCCGCGCGTACCGTAATAAATTTCGTCCTGAGGGCCACAAATCTTAGAGGAGTACACTCCTGTTTCGCCTTCCGGTCCGCCTAGAGTTCCCGTTGCCGGGCATTTTTACCATATCAACGAGAGAACACGAGCCAAGTAGCGCTCGCATCCTCTCCATTAAAGGCGTATATTAAGAGATGACTTTTCGCGATTGATCTGATCTATTAAAGCAACGGGATATTAGCGGATTTACCTTTGCTTGCCGTCGCGCTTACTCCGAGATCCGATCAGTTCGCTTTGCATTCCGCCGGCTTGAGAAATCGGCTGTTCGGTCTTCGATCCAGTACTTGATTCAACTCCCGGTGCTCTATAAATCCAGGGATACGTCTGTGTATCAGACGGATCTTTAGCGCGCCGCGTATCACGCATATGCGCTTATGTGCACAAGCTTTATCCTGGATTAACTACATCGTTGCATGGCTCGGTCACGATCCTCCGGGTATGTGCACCTTGTCGAGGCTACGGTATTTCCTATCCATGAAAGAGAGGTCCGTCATGCACCATCGTTAGAGGCTAAGTAGTAAAACCGATAATGCATTGAGAAAAAATATGGTTGCGTTAATTAGAAATCTGATAAATTGAACCAGTATATTTGTTGGAAAATGGACGAATCAAAATTCCTTTAGGAATTATCAGATGAGTATGATTAATTTCTTCCTGTTAAATTTTCCAAATTTTCTGGTTAATAATATTAAACTCGCCAGCACCAAGTCGTCTAAAATTTTGTCCATCTAATCTCAAAATATTTTATCAAAATTCTTATTAAATTTATATGAGCTAATGAAAGAGAGAAAAAGAGAGTTACAATTTAATTACTTATCATTATTTAATAACTTATCATAAGCCTCGAAGCTGATGAGCATCAATGATGCTAACTTTTTCGAATATTACACTGAGAAAAAATATGGTTGCATTAATTAGAAATCTGATAGATTGAACCAGTATATCTGTTGGAAAATGGACGAATCAAAATTCCTTTAGGAATTATCAGATGAGTATGATTAATTTCTTTCTGTTAAATTTACCAAATTTTCTTGGTAATGATACTAAACTTACAACAAAAATGGCATCATTGTGTTCATATTTAGTTAATACAACAAGAAGTTTTATAGATTCAACAAGAAAATACTAATCAAATCCTTGTGGTAAAGTCTATTAAACGTTCTAGTTAGAAGAAATCTTATCGTGATAACTAAAAATTCTGCTTGGTTTAACCTTCTATCAGATACAATCAAACGATTTTTTTCAGTGTGTCGTTTTTGAGAAAAAAAAAAATGCACTGAGAAAAAAATCTGGTTGCATTAATTAGAAATCTGATAGATTGAATCAGTATATCTGTTGGAAAATGGGCGAATCAAAATTCCTTTAGGAATTATCAGATGAGAATGATTAATTTTTTCCTGTTAAATTTACTAAATTTTCTGGTTAATAATATTAAACTCGCCAGCACCAAGTCGTCTAAAATTTTTTCCATCTAATCTCAAAATATTTTATCAAAATTTTTATTAAATCTATATGAGCTAATGAAAGAGAGAGAAAGAGAATTACAATTTAATTTCATTTAATAACTTATCATAAGCCTCGAAGATGATGAGCATCAATGATGCTAACTTTTTCGAATATTACACTGAGAAAAAATATGGTTGCATTAATTAGAAATCTGATAGATTGAATCAGTATATCTGTTGGAAAATGGACGAATCAAAATTCCTTTAGGAATTATCAGATGAGTATGATTAATTTCTTTCTGTTAAATTTACCAAATTTTCTTGGTAATGATACTAAACTTACAACAAAAATGGCATCATTGTGTTCATATTTAGTTAATACAACAAGAAGTTTTATAGATTCAACAAGAAAATACTAATCAAATCCTTGTGGTAAAGTCTATTAAACGTTCTAGTTAGAAGAAATCTTATCGTGATAACTAAAAATTCTGCTTGGTTTAACCTTCTATCAGATACAATCAAACGATTTTTTTCAGTGTGTCGTTCTTGAGAAAGGAAAAAAATGCACTGAGAAAAAAATCTGGTTGCATTAATTAGAAATCTGATAGATTGAATCAGTATATCTGTTGGAAAATGGGCGAATCAAAATTCCTTTAGGAATTATCAGATGAGTATGATTAATTTTTTCCTGTTAAATTTACTAAATTTTCTGGTTAATAATATTAAACTCGCCAGCACCAAGTCGTCTAAAATTTTTTCATCTAATCTCAAAAATTTTATCAAAATTTAATTAAATCTTGTATAAAGTCTATTAAACGTTAGAAGAAATCGAGTCTTATCGTGATAACTAGAAATTCTGCTGGTTTAATCAAAATGCCTTCTATCAGATATGTCTTGTTCATACAATTAAACGATTTTTCTCAGTGTATCGTTCTTGAGAAAGGAAAAAAATGCACTGAGAAAAAAATCTGGTTGCATTAATTAGAAATCTGATAGGTTCAACCAGTTTCTGTTGGAAAATGGACGAATCAAAATTCCTTTAAGAATTATCAGATGAGTATGATTAATTTCTTTCTGTTAAATTTACCAAATTTTCTTAGCAATGATACTAAACTTACAACAAAAATGGCATCACTGTGTCCATGTTTAATTAATACAATAAGAAATTTTATAGATTCAACCAGAAAATACTAACTAAATCTTTGTGATAAAGTCTATTAAACGTTCTACTTAGAAGAAATCGAGTCTCATCGTGACAACTAAAAATTCTGCTGGTTTAATCAAAATGCCTTCTATCAGATATGTCTTGTTCATACAATTAAACGATTTTTCTCAGAGTATCGTTCTTGAGAAAGTAAAAAAATGCACTGAGAAAAAAATCTGGTTGCATTAATTAGAAATCTGATAGATTCAACCAGTGTCTGTTGGAAAATGGTCGAATCAGAATTTCCTTACGAATTACCAGATGAGTATGATTAATTTTTTCCTGTTAAATTTATCAGAATTTCTTGGTAATAATATTAAACTTACAACAAAAATGGCATCTGTGTTCATGTTTAGTTAATACAACAAGAAGTTTTATAGATTTAATCAGAAAATACTAACCAAATCCTTGTGGTAAAGTCTATTAAACGTTCTAGTTAGAAGAAATCTTATCGTGATAACTAAAAATTCTGCTTGATTTAACCAAAATGCCTTCTATTAGATACGTCTTGTTGATAGAATCAAACGATTCTTCTCAATGTGTCGTTCTTGAGAAAGAAAAAAACAATGTCGATATCTAATTGAAATCCTCACGTCGCAGTCAGCGATTATATCTCACGCTTAAACATGGCAAATTCCCGTCAGTTGATGACGTTATTAGCAAACTCCGTCACTTTGCATCCTCATGCATTTTCATCGTTAGCATTTGCATTGCGACCGAGATAATCAGGTCGCTCTTAATTTATGAATGAAACGCGTGTAAGTGTAATCAATGCCTTTGTTTTAGGGGCGGCAAAAGGGTAATCTAACGGCCCTCGAAAACCTACGCGAGAGAGATTTTGCGACACCGCTGCGGTAAATCGGTTCTCGTTATCTCTCGCACTTCTCTCGCTCGGTTAGATTACGTGGATAATTCGCGCGTAACTCGTAAAGAGCAAAAGCGTAAGCGAGCGCGTTAACACGCGCAACACGAAATGAAAACAATTTTGCAGCTCGCATCGCTTGCGCTACCAGTCCGGTTTTTTTTTTTTTTTTTTTTTTTTTTTTTTTCCGAGAAACGAGCGAGAAGGGGAAAGGGGATTCACGAGAGCGCATTGTTACGTTGTTAATATCAGGCGACCAGCTGGCGGAAAAGCGCAATTTTTGTTCGGCGGGTAGCCGCCGTTTAATGAAAACGGCGCCGAATTTTTTTCCGCCGAACCTTTAACGACAAACAATTGCACCGTCACCTGTCAAACACACGCCACGCACTGCGAGTGCGAACAATTGAATCGATATTACGTAAAAGACGATATATGACGGTATTAACGAAAAGAAATTACCGCAATTGCCCCATTAAAGTTTCGGACTACGTGGAATACAAAGCACGAATGCGTTAAAAATTCGTCCGCTTCCTCTGTCATTTTTATTTAAATTTGTGAATTAGAATATGGCATAATTAATTTTGATAACTATTAATACTAATAATAATTAATAACTATTCAATTCGATATGTACGCATAATTAAATTAGCATTCAATTTATTAAGCATGACAATTTGACTCTAATTAAAGGTCGATATACAATTGTGCAAAATTATAATTTTCGATTCTTATTTGAAAATATTTGCGGAACTTTCTCGAAAAGTTTACAGAAAGTGACTAATAAGTGATAAATAAAAGTAACGAATAAAGAAAAGAATATTTAATCACGAGCGATAGTCGCCTATCGCGAAAGAAGTGCTGCGCAAACAATACTGCAATTTGTCTTTTGCACTTGACTAACAATGTAGATGACAGCGCACATTGTCCGAAGGATACCTGATAAAAAT